GAGAGAGAGAGAGAGAGGGTGGACTGGGATGGGGGTGGGCAGAGAGAGAGAGAGAGAGAGGGTGGACTGGGATGGGGGTGGGCAGAGAGAGAGAGAGAGAGGGTGGACTGGGATGGGGGTGGGCAGAGAGAGAGAGGGTGGACTGGGGCAGAAAGAGGCAAAGGATCCAGTGGAGTGAAGGAAATTGTGGGGGTGGGGAAACGGGGTTGTGGTGTTAGCAATGAGGTGACATTTTAATGTTAAATTTTGTGGATGATCTCTACAGGTTAATTGGACTACCCCATGACCTTATCCTTTTTTTTCTAACTTGATGAAATTGCAGCTCTGTATAGGAGTCATTACCTATGAGTCACCAAGATTGTTCTCTGTAATCTGGAGAAACATAATGTTCAAAAGTTCGAAGGACTGAATGGCCTCTGCCTGTTTGCTATGTTAGTGAATAGCTATCGTCTATCAGCAGTTGACTTAGATTCTTCATAAATGAGGCATGATAAATTTGGGAAACTGCACCTCACGTCCACTGAGTGACAACAGCCTGTGACAGTTGATAGCTAATTGGGAATAAAAACTAAATACTGCAGGTGGTGAAAATTGAAATAAAAAAGAAAATGCTGGAGAAACTCAGCAGAACTAGCATCTGTGGAGAGAAAAACAAAGTGAACATTTTGAGTTCAATATGACTTTTAAGAATAGATTCAGAATTAATTAGGAAAATTGGCCTCTTCCTCCTCCTCTTTAGTCCTTTCAGCTGTTTGATCATTTGATAAGATCAGAACTGATCTGGTTGTGGTCTTAACTCCACCTCCCCATAATTCATGACTCCATTCTCGATCAGAAATCCATATAACTCAGCATTAAATAAATTAAATTCCCTGTCCTCACTGCAGAAAAATCTAATCTGTCTCAAAATGAGGCCTTCTTATTTTAAACTGTGTTCCCCCAAGTTCGGTTCACCCCTACGAGTAGAAGCACCCAGTCCATTCAGGATTTTATATACTTTGATAAGATTACTTAACTTTTCATTTTTTTTAATGTCAGTGTAAACAGAGCCAACCTGTTCAATCTTCTAATAAGAAATATCGACATGCACCCATCAGGATACTGAATCCTTTCCTAGCCAAAGTTCACATTCCTCACCTTCCAGCACTGGTCACTGACGTTTAATCAGAGTGAAGTCCCTGTGTCTTTGTTCGTTTGTCAGAGATGATGTTGAAAGAAATGCCCTGCAATACCATAATGGAGACGAGATCAAATTTGGCCTTTTCCTGGCTTTGTTCTTAAGTGATTTCCCCTACAAACAAATTTGAGGTTGCTGACTTGCTGGCCGAGCTGGCTTGTTCTCGTTCAGACGTTTTATCTGAAGCATGGTTCTCCACTCATAATGCAATCAACAAACACTTAGAATTGGACTCCATATACAAACCCATATAGATCAAAACCAGAAATGACACTACTCACCATAACGGACCAAACGGTATAAATTCCAAGTGGAGAATAACACCGCTTCATTGGAGGCTCCATTGATGATGTCACCTAGCATGGTGATGAAACGTCTGAACGAGGCCAAGCCAGCTCGGCGAGCAAGTCAACAACCTCACCCACAACCTGAGCTACAGATCTTTGCCAAAACTTTGGACAAACAAATTTCTCATTGGTTGTAAGGTGTTTTAGGGCACCCTGATGATATGAAAGAATAATGCATGTCTCTCTGTATCCCAATTTAGTAATTACTGTGTGAAATCTCTGAGTCATTGACAAGCATAAACTTTTTTTTTGGTTTGTTTCAAATTGAAGAAAACTAGAATAATGTTAGTTTAGACCCAACAGAGGTAAACATGAAGTTTAAAGTTTCTTGCATGAAAACATAAACTGCATTTGGTATAATGCACCTTCCTTGGATTCTGCAATTGATGCCTCTCTTCGTTTGTATAGCTAAAGTTGGCAAAACATCATTGATCATGTCCCTGGTGAGCGAGGAGTTTCCAGAGGAGGTGAGTCAGAATTTTAATGTGCTACCTAGTCTCTTGCCTCACCACCACCGAATGTGGTCTCAGTTGTTGCAGCATTATGTGTTCCACTATTTTCAGGCCACTGTGTGCTAAGCGTGGACAATGTGATGTTAAGGTGATGAGGGGCCTGTCAGTGAAGCATATTGAGCTTCTCGAAAGTTCTCAGCGCCGCACTCACCCTTTTCACTGAACATGGTCATCAGCAAATCGCATCTATTGAAAAGTGGTCACCAACACAAGGCATTGGGAGAAGCCAGCAACCCAGGTTCCCAGCTGAGTACCCCAGTAAGAGTCACCGGCTTTGGGCAAAAATTTTGATTGGGATCTTCCTTATTTTATAAGAGATCCTAGTTGTATTTTCTTTCCTATCGTGAAAGGAACTTGGAGGTCTGAAAATACTACACTTGCAAATGTGTGATTGCCGATATAGACTGCAGCTTTGTCACTAGAGGAATTTGGTTAGCATTCCAGTGTAAGAGGCTGAAATACATGTGCTTTACATTTACTCTCCATGATGACACAGTCCTGCGAATTATGTGATACATTGATTTTACTTACTTTGGATTATAGGACTGTGATTGAAACAGTATTCAGGAATATTTCTACTTAGCTGGTTCCCCTCAGGATGTCAAAGGATGTCTCCATTGCTTCCTCTCAGACTCTCCTTCAGCTCTTGATAGGCTTGCGCCTGGACAGAAATTGATGGTTGCAATTTTAAAGGAAAAGAAATGTTAGCTCTCTTTAACAGAGTCTTCCTGTATCTCAGCCAGATTGAGATGCAAGAGCAAATCTGATAATTAGTAAAAATGGGCACTGAGTAACATAACAAACTTTATTTGAAAAGCCAGAGGTTGTTGCCATTTCTGAAATAAGCTTTTGCCTCAATGTGAGATTTATCATTGTAACCATCTCTTTAAACCAAGATCCTTCCCACCTTCAGTGGGATGGTGAACACAGAGTTGGTTAACCCTCTCACTTGCAAACGTTCAAACCTTTGCCTGTACTTACATAGCCTTATGAAATAGTAGCAGAAGCAAGCCACTTGGTCTCTCAAGCTTCCTCTGCCATTTAAAAGATCATGACTGATTTGATTGGAACGTGAGCCCCTCATTCTCAGTAACCCCCGATGTAATCTCTGTTCACCTCTTCTAAAAGTATTCATTTGACCCTGCTTCCACTAGTGTCCTGGGAAGAGAGTTTCAAAGACTCATGACACCCTAAGAAAAATAAAACCTCACTTCCATCTTAAAAGTCAGATCTTCTGTTTTAAAACTGTCCCCTAATTGTAGTCTTCCCATGAGGGGGAGCATTATTTCCACATGCACCCTGTCAAGTCCTTCAGCAATTTGCATTTAAATAAAATAACAAGTTGTTAAGCCAGTGATTAGAATTAATTTATTTACTGGGTAGATACGAAGGGGACTGATGTGTGGAAGGAGATGGAAGACTGAGTAGTTAATAAACTTGAAGAGCAAAGTTTCACTTTCTGTCTCACCCACTGCCTTGGATCCAGTTTAACATTGGTTGCAGAGGATGATTGTGTCAAGGTGAGGATTGGAAACTAAATCAATTTCAGATAGAATATTTGAATTGGAGTTACTTTGGAAAAGTATGACTGAAATCAAAGGCAAAGTACCAGAATATTACTTCCTGCCAATCATTTTATGGAGCTGAAACTTATGATCATTGTAGCAATGAAGTGAATATGTGGACATAGATTGTTTCCTAACCAAAGAAAAAGCAAGGCATTGTAGCTCTCTGCTAGAAGAAAAATCAGGTCTAAAGTATTCTCCGAGCAAGGGCATCTACATTGGGCACTGAGGAAGGTTTGGAAGTTCCATTGAAGTTTACAGACAAATTATACCTAAAAGGTTACCATTAAATGCATATGACCCATGGTTAAAAGCTGATAAATTTAAAAAGTAGAATTGGATATGTAGTGGAATTGAACAGATTGCAAAATTTCATAAGTTTTACTTGGAGATTCCTAATTCAGTTCTGGCCTTTTAAGTTGTCGGACTGTGCTAAGGTGTTGAACATGGATAGACTACTTGTGTTAACTGAAATTCTGGAAGGAAGCATGCTTTTGGAATGAATGTTGCAAGCCTTCAAAAAAAAACTGGAAAAACATTCTTTCCCAGTTGCCTTTGTGGCGCAAATGAGACATTCAGCTGTAACACAAAGGATAGAGAATTCAGTTTGGCAATGTGACAAATCCACATGAAAGAAGAATTGCAATTAACAGGAATGAGGATTGAGATACTTCTGATAGTTAAAGTTCCCGAATTCCTGTTATGACAGAAGAATGAAAGGAAAGCTTGGAGTATGGCCAAAAAATGTTTAGATGTGACTTGAAATACTATTCTGCAATGAATTATCCAAAATGGAATAACGAGATTACACATGATATGGAGGGCTCAGAAGGAGAGATGGTGATACTGATCAGGCAGAGGAAATTGTACAAGTTACAAGAAGCTTTGGTCCAGAAATGAATGAATGTTAACTTATTCAGTTGTACTTCGTTGGACAGTAGATACACATGCACAGTGGAGTGGGTTGCTTAAAATGTTATCTAGATGCATTAAATAATGATTTGAGTAAGGTGAAGATATTTGAGAGTTCTTTTTGCTTCAGGTTTTGTATTGACAACTTGTGGAAACCACTAAAAAGAATGATGATTCTCTGTAGCGTGGTTGGGGTAAACCGCTATCTGCATAGATAGCATCGAGTGAAAAACCCTTAATGTGAGCAGCCCATCAAGAAAAAAGACTCCAATTAAACTAGATGTGAAATATGACAATACAATTGTTTTGGAAAGTCAGTGGGTTTATAGTTTACATAATCTGGACATTATTATAGCCTATAATCAAGGCCTAACCCCTCTCATCAAAATATTAAGCAGGTGTTATTGGCATCAGGAGATCAGTGTTCAAAGGAAAAAGAAAGGCTTACTATCTGAAAAGTACAATTGGCATTTTGCCCATCCATCTTCTCACTGGTTTAAAAATCCTACTAAAGGAAGCACGAATTAGGGATAATTGAATTAAATTTATAGAAGAGATCAGTGAAAAATATGCTACGTGAAAGAAGTAACATAGGGCACCATCATCGCCCATAATGAGACTCCCTTTAGCTAGTGATTTTAACAAAATTGAAGCAATGGTTGGAAAAAAAAGCTTGCACTTCATAGACACGGCATATGTAGTCAGTCTACCATTATATAGTAAAGAGAAAATAATAGTGCTTTGATTTGATTTATTACTGTCATGATTACTGAGGTGCAGTGGAAAGTGTTGTCTTATGTGCTTTACAGGCAGATCCTTCTATAAAAGTGCAGAGTAATGAAGAAATGGATAGAGATTGATGTGGTGGACACGAGCTAAATTCCTAACTGATACAGTTAAATTTGGCAGTAATGTATTTAGGAATGTGTGTGAAAATACGAGCACTGTCATAATTTATCATGACAGCAGACAGTCCCTTTAGTAATGGAGCATGTGAAAGAAATCACGAGGTAATATATTTCATACAATCCTGGTGTACCAACCCAAGTTGTAGATTAAATTAACATCTGCTCTGGCATGGCTACTTCATGTGGAGAACACATTGTTTTTATTTTGGGAGAAATCCAGAAATTCATTGGCAGTGAGTGATCATAACGTGATTTGGAAAGGGACCACAATTATCTCAACTTTTTCTCACTAAGGAGGAAAGGCATTTATTAAGGCTGAGATTTCAGAGGAAGTTTGGTAAACCTTACAGCATTGTAGAGGGCTATTAGAAATAAATTTTAATCCAGGATCCTTGGTAAGTTACAAAAGAGAAGGGCAGAAAGAGTGCAAGGTCTGGGTGAGGTTATAGGTAGTGAAGGAAAATCAATTTTACAGCGTTCCTAATTTACACTCACTGCACACTTACAGATTCTGGACAAGTCATTGAAAGTGGTGAGGCACAGTGCACTTTGTATACACACACAAAGAACATTTATGAGGATCACCACTATTAATTCTTAAATGTTCAAAGTGAGCGACCAGAAATAAGATCCATGGAATAGCAAAATAAGGTGAATATGTAAAAGGCCAGAAGATGTTTATGAGTTCTAAAAGTGGATGTGAACGAGGCCCAAAGAAACAAGGAAAAGAATGCAAACTTGTGAAAGCAATGCTGAGCATCAGAGATGGAAATCTTGTAGTAATCCAGAGACAGGAGAATGACAAGAGGTGTTAAAACTTTGAGAAGAACACAACCTACCGAATGGGCTGGAAGTACTGTGAAAAGTAGAAGCTTCATGATTGTGAAGTTTTACTAGCTACAAATAAATTAGTCGATGTGTTGATAAATGATGCCAATGAAAAGAATTGAAGAACTGGAAAAATTTTGGCATAAGCATTGAGGTACCAGATAGAGGACACCCAACGTTTATCATACAGATGGCTATACAATGAGAAAATACTCCCTGATGGGGTATAAAAGGGTAAAGCCAGCTCTTGCAGCAACAAATTCCTGGGCATATAAGCCAATTGATGTAAAAGCTGCATTTTTGCAGAGGGAAAGTTTCAAAGGGAATATTTTTAAAATTACCTAAAAAAGCAGGTGATATGGGAGCGAAGAAGGTATGATTTATGTGTTGAATGATGCAGGAAGGATGTGGTATTTTCTCAGTTAGGTCCATTTTGCTGGAAGTAAATATATTTAGCTTAAAGCAGCCCTATTGTACTGATATTGCAAAAAAAAATATGATACATATCAATGAATTCTGTTCAGACGTACTATGGAATTTGAGTGATGTGAGATAAAAAGGAAATTTAAGATTAGAAGTCAGACTTTGGAGGCCTTTAAATTATAAGACTAGTAGGGTAGAATACATCAGAGTGACTTTGGATCAGTAGTTTTACTTGGAAAATGTTAATTGCATCCCAGTTAAAATTGGCCAGGTACGCACGAACATGATTTGGCATTCAGGGAAGAAACAGTCTAAGAGATTGATTCGACAGTTAAACTGGTAATGAACTCCAATTAGACTTGATCCCAGCTAGAATGCATTGGAACTGAGTATTGTAATGAAACGTACAATTGTTAAGGAAGTTTTGAGAACAAATGAAATATTAAAGATATTAAATTCAGAAAAATGCAGTCAAGTTTTGAATCTTGGGTGAGCCAAAAGATATAAAATTAGTCATCTTTTAAAACAAAAAAATTCTTGGGATTTATGCTTACTGGGTAGGCCAGTATTTTGGCTCACTCCTAATTGCCCAGAGAGGAATTAGAGTCAACCATCCTGCTGTCAGTTTTGAGTCAGGAATAGACCAGATAAGGGGAGGATGGCAATTTTTTCCCTAAAGGACATTAGTGAACTTTAGCCTCTCATACTAATGAGAAAAGGTTGATGATTAACCTGTTTAGCCTAAAGAGAATTTTAGAAAGGAGATTTCCAAAATAAAATGGATTGATGCAATTTACCAGTTGTCAGATTGTTTCACTAATAAATGTACTTGCTCCAAGAAATTATTGATCTTCGTTGAAGAGAAGTGCTTGATGGCACAAGGTTCCTCAGAACCCGGTGACCGGACCCGAAACGTTAACGTTAACTCTGTTTTTTCCTTCACAGATGCTGCCAGACCTGCTGAGCTTTTCCAGCAACTTTGTTTTTGTTCCTGATTTACAGCACCTGCAGTTCTTTCAGTTTTTATAAAGAGCAAACTGTTTGGACTTGTGGCTGGAAGGAGCCATAAGACTAAATTGTCTGAGTAATTAAAATCTGTCCACAAAGAAAGATGTCTTAGCTTCTGTCTTACCAACTGACTTGGATCCAGATTGACACCTTTCTCATTCTTCTATGCTCCAATGCACACAGGCCCAGACTGTCAAATCTTCCCTCTTAAGTTACAGCACCATCTCCCAGGTATCAGTCAAGTGAATTTCCTCTAATCTGCCGCTAATGCGATCACATCCTTTCTTAAATAAGGAGACCAAAAGTGTACACAGTTCTCCAAGTGTGGTTTCACCAATGCATCTATGCATTTATAGCAAAACATTTGTGTTTTTTATATTCTCTTCTATGTGGAATAAATTGCAGCATTCCATTTGCCTTCCTAATCACTTGCTATACAGCATACTAACTTTTATGTTTTGTGATTAGGTGCCAGCACGTGCCGAGGAGATCACCATCCCTGCAGATGTCACTCCAGAGAGAATTCCGACTCATATCATCGACTATTCAGGTAGGGGATGTGCCACTTCTGTTCACAGGGGTACTATCACACTGGCAACATAGGGATGTTGTGTTTTCTGTTGTAGTTATGTATTTATGATGTCCACCAGAGCCTAGTTTTTGGCACTGTTACATCTGAATCGGAAGTTTGAGAGTTCACATATTGTTGGTTGGTAACTTTGGCTGTTAAGGGGAGAGATAGTGTGTAGCTTTGTTTGATTTTTACTTATATATTGTGTGTTCTCAGAAAGGAAGTGTCTAATTTTAGGTGATGCAGTGTAGTCTGGAGGTTTGTTTATGTGCATTTTAAATGAGGTTTAAAAACCCTTTTGAGATGAAACCCTTTTGACGAGAAACAGTAGAAGAAAGAATAAAAAATTGCTTAGCAACAAGTTGTGCTGTGACACACACAAAATGATGGAAATAAGTTCACGTAGAAAGCCAATGTGCAGGTTTCTTTCAGAGAGAAGGTTATTCCGAGAGAAAAGGTCTGTAAAAGCAGGACTGTCTAGCAGATAACCAGTCGGGACAGAAGGAAAAAGTCCTGAGCAGCTTAGAAGTTAATACGAAAGTTCCAGCAATGAAATACATGCCTGCCAACTGAACAAGGAACTTTAAAGTGGAGACAGTGACCTTACACTGAGGTTTGAGTGTTTGTAGGATGGTTGTTGAGGGTAAAAGGGTTAAACTTTCTGATAGTTGAATTGAGACCATTTCAACTCATTCTTGTATAATGTAGTAAAGTTAGTGTTCTTTTCCGTTTGTGTATGCTTAAACCTTTTATGTTCTTTTGTTAAAAGTATATTGGTAGCCTCTTGTGAAAATGTTCAGTGACTGGCCACAACAGTAAACAAACAAACCACAAGTTTTTTTTTGGCTATCAAACCAGGTTTCACACTTGGATCTGGTTTGTCTAGAATTGCCACCAGCTGGAATCATAACACAACCCCCACCCCAAGAACTTGATGTAAAAGCTAGATGGACACTCCGGTACAGAGGGAGTGCTGTCTTTTGCAGTGTTAAACTGAGGCTCCATCTGCCCTTGGATGTAAAATTTACTGTGACATGAATTTGATGAACAGCAGAGGAGTTCTGTGCAGTTTTGTGCTTAATACCTATTTCTCGACCAACATGAGTAGTCGTTTGTCATGTCTGAGCTGAAACAATGTGCAGTGCTACATTATCCAAGGATAACTAACATTAAGCTTAAGTTTGCTAATGACCAGGAGCAGAAATTCTGTGTCCTCTGTCCACTCTTTTGTTCAGGGTCAGTTGTATTGTCTGACCTTTGACCTAGTTATGGTCAGCTAATCTATGTCGCCTGAATATTAAACTTGTTCTGAGTCAAGGTGGAAACCAACCAGATCATGGAGAAAGTCTTGACCTTGTTTGGTAACCTGATTCATCCAATTTTTGAGAAAGGTGTGTTGATGCACTGGTCTTTCTCAGTGCAAGCTTGGTCCATGTTATTGGTGCCAAACTGTGAAATGTATGTGTCTGTGCAAATTAGTCATTATGTATTAATGACTTGAATGAGGGAAGTGAATGTACTATTGCCACGTTTGTGGATGACACCAAAAATAGGTAGGAATGTGAGCGATGAGGATGATGTAAGCAGTCTACAGAGGGAGATAGAAAGGTTAAATGAGTGATGAAAAACTTGGCAGATAGAGGTGAGATTGAGTAGTTTGAGCCTGTACTCGTTGGAGATTAGAAGAATGAGAATTGACCTTGTTGAAACATTTAAGATTCTTGGGGAGCTTGACAGCATAGATGTTGAGAGGTTGTTTCCCCTTGTGGGAGAGTCTAGGACCAGCGGGCATTATCTCGGATTAAGCTGTCACCCATTTGAAATGAGGAATTTCTCTCTGAGTGTCGTGATTCTGTGGAATTCTTTACTGTAGAGAGCTGTCAAGGCTGGGTCTTTAAGTATATTCATAGCTGAGATACATTTGTAATCAGTAAGGGATTGGAGGTTTATTGGAATAAGACAGGAAAGGAGTTTAGGATTACCAGATTAGCCACAATCTTATTGAATGTCAGAACAGATTTAATAGGCCGACAAGCCTCTTCTGCTCCTGTGCCTTATGGTCTTAATAAACTTTCTTTGTTTACAGCTTCAGAGCAGACAGACGATGAGCTCCAGGATGAGATTAACCGGGTAAGGACTTCTCAGATTTGTAGTTAGTGCAGTATTTATAACCATGGGCTCAGTCCTTTAGGTGTCAATTAGAACTCCAAAAGTCAACATTTATTTAGGTGTAGGAGGGAAACATCAATTTGCAAGCATCCTGACTGAATGGGAACCATTACCTTGGAGTTTTGCCATGTGTCACTGCGGTTTTCTGTGCTTTGAGAGAGACAGTGGTTGATCCATCTTTACCTTCTCTTCCAATGTCCCCCTGAAGGGGACATGACCCTGTCTATACCCAATGCACGTGATAATCAGGATTATTAGCCTAAAGGCAAAGTTACAAAGCGAACCGAGTCTAGGAAGTGGAGGGTCAGGTCTGGATTCTGGATGTAGCTCACTGTTTTAAGGCTGTTTACACTTTTCTTTTCCTCTTCTACAGTCTCTCAACGCCTTCCTCTTGGGCTGTACTTTATCTGTGAATCTTCTAGGATTTGCTTGTCATACCCAGCTTCCCTTTCCACATCTTTGAATTGGAGGTGCTACTCCTCACTTCCCCAGAGGTTATTCTTTATCAAATAACCAAGTGCTCATATCTTCATTTTTCTCCTTTTAGGCAAATGTGGTTTGTGTTGTGTATGACGTAAATAAAGAAAGCACCATTGAAAAGGTACTGTAACACCCTGTGTCACCTCACATGTTATAATATGCAGTGCTTCTTGAAAAAAAAACTCAAGGCTCATTGAACTGAGGTTATTCAAGAAACAAATTAGTGTGATCTATATTTCCTCTGTACAATAAAGCCATAAATTAGAGTGAAAAGCTTTGTTCTTATCAAGAGTTATAAAGAAAAGAGGATAAACTTGCACAAGGAAATGTGCGTACAATTTGGGTACCCCAAGAAAGATGCAGCACTGATGTGCAGCATGCTAGAAATGTTGAATTAGGGGAGGTGATCATGCAGTTGGTAATACCACTGGACAAGTAATCCAAAGTCCCAGTATAATATTCTAGGGATAAGTTTGAATCCATTGCAGATGGTGAAATTAAAACTCAGTTGTTAAAAAATTGTACATAAAATTTGTCCAGTGGCAACCATGTAACCATTGTCAATTGTCATAAAGCACTTAGCTGGTTCACTAATGTCCTCATGCTAAAGACATTTGTTATCCTTACCTGGTCTGGAATACATGTGACTCCAGATACACAGTAACGTTGTCGTTGACTCTTAACTAGCTTATAAAATGACCCGAGCAAACCATTGAGTTCAAGGGCAATTAAAAAAGGGCAATAAATACTGGCCCAGCCATTTTCCACAAACAAATGAAGAGAAACAGTATTAAAAAAAATTGTTATGAGCAGAGAGTTGAGGTGCTGGGACTATTTCCAGAAAGGAGAGTAGGATTACACAGGTCACTCTCAGGATAGCAGTCTGTTATTAGGAGGGTAGATAATATCTAATCAACCTGTTCAGAGTTGTTACTTAGTAGTAGAACAGGTGGGTATTGAACGTAGACCTCCTGGCCCAGAGATAGGGGCACTGTCACTGGTCCTGAGAGGAACAGTGCTGGAGCCACAAGTGTTCACAGTCTAAATAAATGATTTGATGTGGGGACCAATTGTAAACACTTTCAAATGTGTAAGGGCTCTTGAGGCAATTAGTAGCTTTTGTAGCTCTATCTCTAGGCCAGAAGGTGAGAGTTCAATTCCCATGTGCTACAGAGGTATATTTTAATGTATCTGAACAGGATGATTAAAAAAATTTATTTCTCAGTTTGTTGATGACATTGAACTATGTATGAGCAGTGATCTCATTGAAACTTACAAAATTCTTACAGGTCATAACAGGGTAGATGTAGGTAATATCTTTCCCCAAATGGTGAATCTAGAATGAGGGATATAGTTTCACAGTAAGGGGTATGCACTTCAGTCTGAGATAAGGACTTACCTCTTCTCAGAATGTAGTGAATCTTCAGAATTCTCTCCTCCCAAGGGTGTGTTGAACCTCGGTCATTGAGCAGGTTCAAAACAAAAATTGATAGATATCTGGATACTGGGTATGGGGATAGTGTGCGAAGTTGGTGTTGAGGTAGATAATCAACCATCATCTAATTGTATACAGTCTTGATGGGCTGAACAGATTACTCTTGCTTCTGTGTTCCTACGAGAAGAAGGCAACTTGACCCACAGTGTTCATTGAAAGAACCGTCCCCTCGTTTGCCCTTCTAATTCCACCCCCCCACCCCCTCCCCCCCAACTTAATTCCCTTTTGGAAGTTAAGCTTGGATTTATTTCCATTATCCATTCGCCTTCCTGGCCATCATAATTCACCCTGTTTTAAAAACACCTCTCAACTGGTGAAATGATGTCATTCTGTCCTTGCAGAAATGCAGTTTCCTGCTGACACAACTCTAATAATCAAATGCATTTGTAAAATTGGAGAGCTACCATGGAGACCTGAAACTGCCTGGTGCAAGTCTGTTTGTCTGTTGCTTGTCAGAACTGGAAAGTCTGTTAAATGTTGCCTAACAATTGTGGCTATGAGGCAGAGTTGTGTCTGATAAATAGGATATGTGTCTCATCCAGTTGATATATTATGTTGATGTGTTCAATTTCTAACTTTAGAGCATGTGTTGGGAATCTGTATGCAGTGGTATCTAGGTCATCCATTCCAGAGGTCTATTTTAGATTGTAATCTAAACCTACAAGACTGACAAACTTCATATCGCTTTCGCTGTGCGTCACAACACAGAAACCTCTTGTATACAATTATTTGACAAAATTAATACTGTAGTCAGGATTTCAGTCCAGTTTGACTAAAATGATTGAAAATTTTTAGTTTTTATTTTAATTTTTGTGCATTGTCACCAATCTAAATCCCTGGTTCAAGATCACCCTAAGTCAGCTTCACAGTATATCCAGAAAACAGGGTTCTTTCACTGGTGGCTGACTGTTCAGCAGCTGCCTGGTAGTAATTTATGCTGTGTGACTTGGATTGATTGCACAGATCAAGCTTGTTTTAGATCAGGAGTTTGCTTTACAGGAGCATTACATCTTTAGCCAATAGAATACTGTCCAGTAAAAACATTGTATGTGTTAAATGTTCACTAATCTTTCATGCCATATTAGGTTGTCAGTTCTGGTTTATTTCTTGGCACTCGTGCCTTCTGGGAGAGAAATCTGAGAGGTTGGGTTTCAGTCCAGTGCTGCATTGTTGGAGGTGCTGCCCTGCAAACGAAATTCAAACTGACAACCCTCATGGGTGGATGTCAAAGATCAGATGACCACTGTTTAGAAAGAGGACAGCTTTAACTGGTGTCCTGGCTATATCTTATCTATCTAACAACATAGCAAAAACTGTTGTCTGGTTATTTTGTTAAAAGTCACATGACACCAGGTTATAGTCCAACAGGTTTATTTGAAATCACCAGCTTTTGGAGCACTGCACCTTCTTCAGGTAAAGTGAGACTATGTCAGACTTCACCCGATGAAGGAGCAGCACTCCTAAAGCTTGTGGTTTCAAATAAGCCTGTTGGACTATAACCTGGTGTCGTGTGACTTTTGACCTTGTCCACCCCAGCCCAACACTGGCACCTCCACATCATAGTTATTTTGTTGTTCGTGGGAACTTGCTATGTACAAATTAGCTGCCACATGTCCTAAATTGCAACAATGACCACAGTTCAAAAGTACTTTATTGGCTGTAAATCACTTGGGACTTATGAAGTTGTGAAAAGCAATATAGAAATGCAAGTTTGGTATCTTAGTTATTACTGGATTAGCCAAGGTATCATGTTCACATTCTACCCCTGGCAAATTGAGTTGAATCAATCTGATAATTTGTCAGTTGACAGCAGAAACAAAACTGAGTCACTCCGGAGTGTGGTTTCACCAGAAGTCCAGACCAACAAGGTTGGCAGGCTCCCTTCCTCAAAGGGCAGCAGTGAACCAGTCGGTTTTTAATTGGTTATTCCGGCTTTAGTAATAAAATATATTTGTTGAGTTTACAACTTGCCTTGGTAGGATTTGAACTCAACACCTCAGTTACTACCCCTGACTGGACAAGAATATATAGACAAACGTTACAATCCCAACCTTGGATACATCCATATTGATTGGAAGTGGAGAGCTTAATTTCTAGGTTTTGCAATTGTTTCAGTAGTTTAAATTATTTATGATATTCCATGAATCTCATGAATAGTTTGATACTTCATGTACTTTCCCAATTAAATCCTTATTACATTATAATTAATTATATTTTAAGAAAATGGGGAGTAAATTTTATAAATAAGATAACGTAAATTGGATTCCCATGCTAAAATAAAATTTATTCCAACTGGTTCTGAGTTTATTGAAGGTTAGAACTGGTGAAGCAAGCATCAGGATGTGTTGGAATAAACTAGTTAAAATATACTCACTTTTTGTAGGGGTGAATCCAGCATTCCCCAACTCAGTTGCTTAGTTATACTCAAGGTGGAAATGTCAAACTCTTCTCTTACTATTGTTTTCCAGATCCAAAGTAAATGGATTCCATTGGTAAATGGAAGCACTGAACAGGGCAACAAGTAAGTTGACATTTTCCGGAGCTGACTGCAGGGACTCTGGGAAGTGGCAGTTTCAGTCTGTGCTTCCCATTGCTGCAAATTAATAATGGTATTAATTGGAATAGGGAAGGCCATTCTGTTCCTTGGAAATACATTGCCATTCTGGAAGTCTGTCCATTAAACCCCTCCCTCAGTCTTTTCTCCACCTTAATACCCACTGATTTCTCCTCTTTAATACTTGTCTTTAACACCCAGTAATATTGTCTGACTGAACTGATTTTTGTTTTTTGATTTTTCTTCTCGAAGTACCTTGGGATTCTTAAACTGTAGTACATGCGCCTTAGATGTGTAAATGACATGCCTGAAATTTCTTACAGAGTAAAGCTTTCTGGTGCAGCTGTTCAGCTGTGATATGTTTCTATCATTTATTCACTCTTTCAGACCAGCTCTTTTGTTTGATTACTTATGTGTTTCTCCCAGAATTCCAGTAATCTTGGTAGGTAACAAATCAGACCTACAAGGAACCAGTTCCATGGAAACAATTCTACCTATCATGAACCAGTTCATGGAAATTGAAACCTGTGTGGAGGTGAGACCCACAATGTGAAATTTTCTGATTTTACTGATTATAGTTTCGGGAACTAAACAGACAGTTGTCCCAATAAAATAACATCAAAAGCATTCTTGGATTTAGGCAGCGATAAACGTAAGAAATAGGACTATGAGAGGACCATTTGGCCTCTTGTTCAGTAAGATCCTGGTTAATCTGATGGATTGGGCCTCACTGAATTTAATTTGTTAGGACGCTGGTGCCTATGTGGTTCAAGTGAAGGGTATTTTAAAGGTACCTCCCCTTTCCCCCAGTGCTAGTGGTGGTGCCTCATGAATTGGCACCCATTTCTTCCACACCATTATTTGAGTTATGAGTTTAATTCCCTGATCTTATTCAACCTCGGCAAATTTGTTCATGGTTCAGGTAGTAATTCAAAGATTGTTGTTCTCCATTTTAGTTTAGTCCTTTGCTCCTAATATTCACTTTGCAGAAGAGCCTGTTTCTTAGTCCTACCTGTTGTTGGTGGTGCCCATGTGAATTGTGGTAACTAATTGCTTCCTTTGCTATTCCAATGTCTTCTCCAACGCAGAGAGGATTTCCTTAACCCTAGTATTGTGCAGGCAGAATACCTTTCAGGGCTTGATGTTAGCTGCAGAGAACAGTGACTGTCCCTCTTAACTATACTGTCACCAACTACAATAACACTTGTTTTTACTTCAACCCAACTTAAATGGCCCTATGGACCTCAATAGTGTGGTCAGTTCATTCATCCTCCATGAACTACACTGACTAGGCAAGTTATATCCCATCCCATATTGCCCTGTGGAACTTGTCTTACAACTTGTTCAGTTCACTTCAAGGGAAGCTAAGAATTGATCATGTTGCGTGTAGATCCAGATCAGATAAGGATAGCATGTTTCTTTCTTTAAAGAACACTGTTTTCCTGGTTTAAAGAAGTGTCTTTTTGTGACAAATCCTAGACAATTTGGTTTTCACTGAATGGTAAATGCAGAAACGGACTGAAAGTCGTTTGGCGGAAAGCTTCAGAGAATTTAAATCTTTTGATGTATTGAGATTCACTTTCCCACCCAGGAGAAGTCAATAAATGCCTCCTAGTAACCAGTCAAGTCCATGCCATCAAGGGGCATTAGAACAGGGATTCTCATTTAGTTTGTGAACGATATTGAACTTCAATCTCAAATGATCTGTAATGTGATTCACCCCAGTTAGCTTGCCATATTTATGTCTAGTTAATGGGCAGCGGTGGAAGATGGTAGAAAATCTGACTTTTCTTCTTGGTAGTATCTATCTGACCCCCTGCCTCCTGTTGTTTCACATATTATGCTATTTTGTATCTTGCAGTGTTCTGCTAAGAATCTAAAGAATATTTCAGAGCTGTTTTTCTATGCACAGAAGGCTGTCCTTCACCCAACTGCACCCCTGTATAACCCAGAAGATAAACAGGTAACATACAAGGCAATGTTACTTTAGTTTGGACAGAGTTTTATGCCTTTTGAGCCTTGCTCAGAAATAAGACTTTGTACTCTGTCACTTCGGTCGATAATTGTCCCAACCTGATTTTGTGTTTTCAAAGAAATGCAATTTGAAGCTATTGAAGATGTTGTAATTTTGGGTGAGGTGTTAAGCCAAAGCCCTGTCTGACCCCAAGGGTGACTTTTAATGATTCCATAGCACCATACAAAGAGCAGAAGAGTTCCCTTGGTGTCCTGGCCATATCCATTCCTCAGCCAATACCTAAAACCAGAAGTTGCTGGAAAGGCTCAGCAGGTCTGGCAGCATCTGTGAAGAAAAATCAGAGTTAACGTTTTGGGTTCAGTGACCCTTCCTCACAACTGGGTCTTTCAGTTTTTACCGAAAAATGTCTTCATTATCATATTGATGTCTGCGGGACTTTGCTGTATATAAATTGACTGTTCAATTTCCTAATCGTAACAGTGACCATGCTTCGTTAGCATAAAATGCCCTGAGGTCATTAAAGATGGTCATTAAAGATTAAAGGTCATTAAATCTAAGTGTGCACCCAATAGGAGGGAGAGAGGGAAAACTGGAAGCCTTATCCTTTGCATGTTACAAAGGCTGTGTGCTGAACTCCCAGTGTGGCACTTTAAGAATTTAAATTCAGTTTTTGTTTTTTAATAAAAAATGAAATTAGAAAGCTGATATGGATAAAAGTGGCTCTGAAGCTGTCTACTTGTTTTAGAAACTCTGAGTAGTTCACTGATGTCCTTCAGGGAAGAAAACGTCAGGTCTTTACCCTGTGTGACTCTGGTCCCTCACTGTATTGTAATTTATTCCTTTTGTTCCTTGGAATGGTCTAGTACGCCCTTTGATTATATGAGACTGCAACAACAAATGCAGTGGGTCAAGAAAAAGACCTGTTACCACCACCACCTCAGGGTAACTAGGGATTGGCAAGAAGTACCAATGCCACCTACGTGCTGAGATTTGTTTTTAAATAAATTTTTTTACATTTGTCTAAGCAATTAATCTCTGCCGGAAGGCACCTAAAAGTGGGAAGGAAAAACACACTGATTCATCTGAAGGGAATCACAGGTATATGAAAGGCTGTGTTGTTGATTTTTTTTTTAAATCAAACTTCTCAGGGTGTAATTACTTAGCACATCTCCAGCCAATGCCTTTCCAGCCTTTGCAATACTGTTTTCAGATTGCACATGACATCAGTGAGATTGCCCATTTGTACCTGGCTAATGAAGCTTTGTGTGTGTTTCAGCTGAAACCATCATGTGTTCAAGCCCTTACTCGGATCTTCAACATTTCTGACCAGGACAATGATAGAATTCTCAATGACTCAGAGATGAACTTCTTTCAGGTAATTTTCAATGTATAATGCAATGGATTAACATAATGTACTTTGTGCTGCTTGTATCACAGTCAGTAGCAGAAAAGGGCTTTTGTCCTGTTGAAACTTATCTCACTAGCGTTAATATTATGTTTGTCCCTTACTGTTTATTCCAGATTTTATCACTCTTTAGTTAAAGATCTTTTGCTATTTTTGGTTATAACTTTGCTTTGGCCCATTTTAATCTGTTTTTGATCTTGTGTATGCCATTGAATATTTTGTGACTCAGCAAAGTTCCCCTTACATGGAAACAGTCTGGTTGGCCTTTCCAGCCTTTCTCAGCATTTGTCCTTCAGGGACCAAATCCTGTCACGGCAAATGATAGAATTGAATCCTGCCATGGTGGATGGTGCAATTTGAATTCAATAAGAAATATCTGGAATTGAGAATCTACTGATGACTATGAAACCATAGTTGATTGTCAGAAAAACTCATCTGGTTCATTGATGTCCTTCAGGAAAGGAAATCTAACATCCCCACCTGGTCTGGCCTACCTGACTCCAGACCCATAGAAATGTAGTTGACTCTCAATTGCCCCCTGAAATGGCCTGACAAGCCACTCAGATGTATCAATTACTACAAAGTCTCCACAAAGGAATGAAACTGGATGGACCATCTAGCATTGATCAAGGCCTGAAAAGACGAACAGCAGAAACAGCCCTGTCAACCCTGCAAAATCCTCCTTATTGATATCTGGAGTTAATGTCAAAAGTGGGAGAGCTGTCTCACAGACTAGTCAAGTAACAGCCTATCATAGTCATACTCATGGAATTGTACCTTACAGACAACGTCCTAAACACCACCATCACTATCTCTAAATATGTCCTGTCCCACGGGCAGGTCATACGCCGTAGAGGTGGTAGCACAGTGGTATACATTCAGGATGGAGTTACCTGGGAGTCCTCAATGTTGATTCTGGACCTAGTGAAGTCTCATGGCTTCAGGTTAAACATGGGCAAGGAGCCATCCTGCTGATTACCATGTACTGTTCTCCCTCAGCTGATGAACAACTCTCAGAGGAAGTAGCGGGGATGGCAAAGGTGCAAAATATACTCTGGGTGGGGATTTCAGTGTCTGCCACCAAAAGTGGCTTGGCAGCAGTGCTACTGATCGAGCTGGTTGGGACCAGAAGGACATAGCTGATAGACTGGGTCTGCAGCAGATGGTGAGGGAACCAACGAGGGAAAAATGTACTTGACCTCATCCTTACCAATCTGCCGGCTGCAGATGCATCTGTCTATGACAGTATCAGTAAGAGTAACCATCACATGGTCCTTGTGCAGACCAACCCCTGCCTTCACATTAAGAATAACCTCCATTGTATTGTGTGGTGCTATCACCGGACAGATTTTAAACAGATCTAGCAACTCAGCCTGGACATCCATGTGATGTTGCAGCCATCAACAGCAGCAGAATTACACTCCACAATCTGCAACTTCATGGCCTAGCATATCCCCAATCAACCATTTACCAACAAGCCAGACCGTCAACCCTGGTTGAATGGAGAGTGCAGGAGGGCATGCCAGGAGCAGCACCAGGTAATACCTAAAAATGAGATGTCAACCTGGTCAACCAAGCAAACAGCATAAGCAGCAAGTGATAACGAGACCTAAACAATCCCACAACTAACCGGTCAGATCTAAGCTCTGCAGTCCTGCCACATCCAGTTGTGAAAAGTGGTGGGCAATTAAACAATTCCCTGGGAGAAGGAGGCTTCACAAACAGCCCCATCCTCAGTGATAGAAGAGCCTAGCACATCAGTGCAAAAGATAAGGCTGAAGCTTTTGCAGCAATCTTTAGCTAGAAGTGCTGAGTGGATGATCCATCTTGGCCTCCTCCAGTGGTCCTCAGCATTACAGATACCAGTTTTCAGCTAATTCTATTCACGCCACATAATATCAAGAAATGGTTGGAGGCACTGGATAGTGCAAAGGCTATGGGCCCTGACAACATTCCAGCAGTAGTATTGAAGACTTGTGCTGACAACATTCTGGCAATGGACTTGTGCTCCAGAACTTGCTGCTCCCCTAGCCAACCTCTTCAAGTGCCAGTAACACTGGCACCTACTCAACAATGTGGAAAATTGCCTAGGCATGTCCTGCACACAAAAAGCAGGACGAATCTAACCCGGCCAATTATCTCTCCATCAGTCTACTCAATCATCAGTAAAGTGATGGAAGGTGTCATCAACAGTGTTATCAAGCAGCACCTGCTCACCAATAGCCTTCAGTGACGCCCAGTTTGGGTTCTGCCAGTTCAACTCAGCTTCTGACCTCATTACGGCCTTGGTTCAAACATGGACAAAAGAGCTGAATTCCAGAGGTGAGGTGAGAGTGATAGCCCTTGACATCAAGGCCACATTCAACTGAGTGTGGCATTGGGGAGCCCTCGCAAAACTGGAATCAATGGGTATCGAGACCAACTCTGCTAGTTGGATTCATACCTAACATAGGAATATGGTTGTGCTTGTTGGAAGTCAGTCATATCTCAGCTCCAGGTTATCTCTGCAAGAGTTCATAGAATCATAGAATCCCTACACCGTGGAAACGGGCCCTCGGCCCAATAAGTCCACACTGGCCCTCTGAAGAGCATCCCACCAGACCTATCCCCCTACCCTTTTTCTGTAACCCTGCATTTCCCATGGCTAACACACCTAATCTACACATCCCTGAACACTATGGGCAATTTAGCATGGCCAATCCACCCAACCTGCCCATCTTTGGACTGTGGGAGGAAACCAGAGCACCCAGCAGAAACCCACGCAGACGCGGGGAGAATGTGCAAACTCCACACAGACAGTCGCCCGGTGGTGGAATTGAACCCGGGTGCCTGGTGCTGTGAAGCAGCAGTGCTAACCACTGAGCCACCGTGAGTTCCTCAGGGTACCGTCCTAGACCCAACCACCTTAAACTGTTTCATCAATGACTTTTCCTCCATCATAAGGTCAAAAACTGGGATATTCACTGATGATTGCACAATATTCAGCACCATTCATGACTCAGATACTGAAGCAGTCCACATTCAAATGCAACAAGATCTGAACAATATCCATGCTTGGACTGATGAGTGGCAAGTAGCATTTAAACCATACAATTACCAGGCAATGAGTATCTCCAAAATGAGACAATCTAACCACTGCCCCTTGATATTCAATGGTGTTGCTATCACTGAAATCCCCGCCTCCATCCTTGGGTTACCATTGATCGGCAACTCAACTGGACTTGCCACATAGACACACTGTTTACGAGAGCAGGTCAGAGCTTAGGAATACTGTGGTGAGTAACTCACCACCTGACTACAATCTACAGGACACAAGTCAGGAGTGTGATGGAATACTCCCCATTTGCCTGGATGGGTGCAGCTCCAACAACACTCAAAAAGCTTGACAGTGTCCAGGACAAAGCAGCCCTCTTGATTGGCACCACATCCCCAAACATCTACTCCCTCCACCATCAATGCTCAGTAGCAGTAATGTGCCCTATCTTAAAGATGCACTGCAGTTATTCATCCAAGATTCTTTGATAGTACCTTGCAAACCACGACCACGTCCATCTAGAAGGTCAAGGGTTGCAGATACATGAGAACACCATCACCTGCAAGTTCCCCTCCAAGCCACTTACAATCCTGACTTGGAAGTACATCGTTGTTCCTTCACTGTCGCTGGTTCAAAATCCTGGAATTCCCTCCCTAATAGCATTGTAGATCAACCCACAGCAGGTGGACTGCATCAGTTCAAGAAGGTAGCTCACCACCACCTTCTCAAGGGCAACTAGAGCCAGGCAATAAATGCTGGCGCAGCCAGCGACGCCCATGTCCTTGAATGAATAATAAAGAAAATTCTAGTCTGATTTACCCAGTCAGTTCCCATATCCCTTCAACCACTTGTTTCATCCATCTCTCCAATCTAATCTTGCAAACTGACAGTTTCAGGCACTACCTGGTCCGGTCTGATCCCTGTTTACTACCACCCTTTTCCCCAACTGATCACTGAGGAAGTGCCTCAGGTGGGGCCTGTACTTGGCAAGTTCGTCCTCTCCTAAGTGGTTACCACTCAGCAAGGTTGTTCCACTAAAAACAGGAAACAGAATCTGTGAGGAGTTGCTTCTTCAATCACAGGCTGTATCTCAGCTACATTCACCACTGATAGGTTCATTTGTGAACCTGTCAGCAGCAAACATGGGAGACAGCCTATCTGTAATTGGAGAATCAGCTGGGAAGGTGAGTTGCTGCAAAAAGTGAGTCACCAGGATTGCTGTCGGCTGACAGAGATCTGGGATAGGGAAACATCTACACTGGATCCAGGTCTAGGTCCAGGGAAGAGAGTGGCTCTGTCAACCCGGGTCCAGGCCTGGGAGTGGTTGGAGGGGAGTGTATTGAGCTGAGACTGGGGGTTCGCGAAGTGCTGCTGGTGGAAATGGAAAGGTGAAGGTTGTGAAGGAAAGTAGGAGGTTGCATAAGAAGGGAGAGAAAGAAAGGAGGCTGCAAAGTTGGACTGGTAAGAAAAGGAAAGAAGCAGTTGTAGTTGAAGAGAGAAAGCTAAAAAGGACTCCAAGGTGGGCAGAAAGGAGAGGAGCTGCTGCAAGAGGAGGTGGAAAGGAAAGAAAGAGGCTGCAATTGTGGCTGGGGGAGATGATGGAGTCTACAGAGAGAACGATTTAAAACATGTCAACAAATGAATGTTCAACTAACATGGAGGCAGTAAAACTTGAAAAACCATTGAGGTAATAAATTTCTTGAAAATGAATGTGGAATTTTTAGCTTCAAGCTACATACATTGATGGAGCTGCTTTATGTGACAGTATAGTGGATGTCACTGCAATGAACACTGTCAGTTCTTTAAATTTAAACCTGGGATTGAGATTTGAAAATCAGTGAATAGAATAGTAATTGTCTGGTTAAATGTTCCTTTGTTGAGTATCAGCAATGGAACAATGGAGCTGTGACCTCAACAATCTGTGAAAGGTGTGTTTGGGATGGTGCCTTTCTTGTAATGTAGAAGTCTGTCAGTTATTTTGGGCATCTGTGATGATACTATGGCTTTAAGAGGTGTATTTTGTCCTAGTTTTAATTTATGAAAGGTGAAAACAGAGGTGTGGAGGGGTCTGCTCAAAGCCAATAAAATAAACAGCTTGTGAAGCTTTAGGTTTTTAAAAAGTTAGAACAATAGAAGCAGCCTGAATGGGTGGGGTCAAGCACCCACAAATCCAGATTTTTAATTTTAGCTTTCAGCAGTTGCTGTGTCTTAAAGCAGGATGTGGAAGCTCTTATTCCTGCCTCTGTTACAGCTAAAAACTGGGGCTGTCTTCCTGCAGTTAGAATTGCGTGTGAGATAATCTATTTTACTGAATTTGCCTTTGTCAAAGGTGTGTTTTTAAAATGCTGCTATACTGGAACAGTTATTTAATAGTAGTTAATATGTTGTTTTGATAGGCATTTCAATAGAATTACAGTTAAGCCAATTCTTTTATTTTTATTTTGTCGGTATCTTAACTGTAGTGTGTTTTTCTTAAAGTCAAGTAATTTGACTAATCGAATTGTATCTGGAACATAATACCTTAGACTGAAATAAGAAAAAGTTAAGGTTTAAGCTATCTTCTTAATATATTTTGAGGGGGGTTTGGTCTGGTCCATAACAGATCAAAAAACTACTTCTGTCTCTCTTGTGCCAGTTGAAATACTGTGGTGTCAAGGAGACCATACTCTCCTCGTCTGTTGGGGCTTTCGGTTTATTGAAGGGTTGATAAATTAAAACTACTGCTGTGTTCTTCTAATTCTACTTCAATGTTAGTCCAAATACATCCGTAGTCAACACAACTACAGAAGGCATTGTTAGTTTGTGACAGCATTGCTATAAAAATGAGTGCTGCAGTGTTCCATTCTACAGGACCCAAAGATCATTGAGAAAGCACTTGTCAGAAGCTGTCAATCGTTAAAAGTGATGGTGGTGGTGGTGATGCGTACCAGAAGCTCTGAAGAAGGAAAAGCACCAGTGCTCAGGGTTTCTCTCCCTGGTCCTGGTCTGATACCCCTTGCTCACCCACTCTATCCACCTGCCTACCCCTATCTACCTCAGTCCTGAACCCTGCAATTAAATTCTACAGCCCTTCAACTCTATATGAAATGCTTTCTCTCTGGCCTGATAATGTTTTCTCCAAACTGCTTTTAAAATTTTTGCAATTTTTTATTAGATTTTTACTGTGCAGCAGCTCTTCCAGACTACCATTTCAAAATCACATGCAAAAGAACCAGAAAGGTGATGAGAATATTGTTTTAAAGAGAGTCCGAAAGGGTGTTGGAAGTAGGTTCAGTAGTAACTTGGAAATTTGTTGTATTCATTTCCTTTGAAAGTCCATGGGATAAAACTGGGGTGTGTGGGACTCATTGAACAAATAACTTTTTCAAGGAGCCAGCACAGGCCTAATAGGTTGGCCACCTTCTGTCTTGTAAAGCTCCAAGATGGGGAATTTGCCAGCCTGCAATTCACTAAGTGCCATTCTCCCACCTTCTCCCTGGAACCCTGCACACTGTTTATTTTCTAATTCTGTTTTGAATTCTTCACTTGAACCTGCCTCCACCACACTATTATGTACTGCATTAGGACCTTAACCACTTACTGCATGAAAATGTTTTTCTTCTATCACTTTTGCTACTTATGCCAATTCAAATCTGTGCCTTCTCATTCTCGATCCTTTCACGAGAAGGAACAGTTTCTCACTATCTATTCTGTCCAGATCCGTCATGATTTTGATAGGTCAACTTAAAAATGGAGTCACTTGATTAAATTGGGTGCGAGTTTGAAGTTTTGTTTGATGAGGGATTTGTTTGGGTGAGAATGTACCCAATGGTTGAATTGGTACCTGAAACACTTTGAGTTTGGAGGTGGCTGATGTAGATTATCTGGAATTTCATGTGTGTCTAACATGCCTGCTAATTGTAGATTGAGGTGTTACAGTAGAGGGTGGACCTGAGAGTGAGGGGGAACTCCAATACATGCAATAGAGAATGGGCAAGCAACTGTAGGAATCCCACGAGGTGTAATGGGGACTCGTTTAGTTACTGTATTCTGTAACAAAGTCTCAAATGGTAAATGCATGCAGACCCCAAACTAAGGGCAAGCATCCTGCACAAATGTGCATAAGTTCAGAAGCTAATCAGCAGTCTCAATTTTGACCTCACTCTGTACTTTCTGATTACTTCTTTCAGAAATACTGTTTCAGGAATCCCTTATCACCTCAAGCTTTAGAAGATGTTAAAACTGTGGTCTGGAAAAACACGCCCGATGGAATCCTGGATGATGGGCTGACGTTAAGTGGTACGTTGTGTACAGTTGAAACGTAGCACAAATGTAACAGTGTTTCTTCTTTCGATGTTAACTTTCTCTCTCGAAGGGGCAGGGCTTCCTCTGTCCCCAGTTCTGGAATATTTACTATGCTCAATTTGCTTTGAGTTGAGGCTTGTCAGATGGAGCTGAACTGTACCTGATCCCTGATAGAGTCAAATGAAACTTCACCCCTCAGAATAGACTACCAGCTGAGAAATCTCTTCTGATTGAATTGTGTTTGATTCAGACCTGACAAGGTCAAGATTTACCAGGTTATGGAGACAGATCACTGGCGTGAAGTTGATTAGATTGGCACAGACTTGATGGGTGTCTGTTCAGTCTTCAAAGTAAACTTCTACAATTATTTGATTTACTGATCTATAACTGAATAGTATATTCGTGCAATTCAGGGACAAGTCATAGAACAACCATTATCTCATTATCTTATACCATAACTGCATTGAACTTCCAGACTTTGTGCAAATTAACTGATAAAGATTCTGCCTGGTCTGCCTCTCTGAAATTCAGTGCACTTCACAGCAATCTTTCCTCTTTCCCCCAATCTATTTTGTTCCCCTCCCAACCACTCACTCAAGGCAGTATGTTTGTGTTGAATTGCTTGAAGGATCCCTCAACATTCTGTGACCTGGTCAATTTGTGTCTGACTATCAGTGTGCACAGATGAGAGGGGCTGGATCTCTCTTCATGGCTTCCTGTGTTATTGGATGTAGGTATTGTCTGAGTACAAGGTTCTGAGACTTTACAATTGGTAAATTTGGTAGTGATGCTTTCTGATTTTAGAAGTGCAGAGAGCTGTCAGTTTGAAATACTGCCCATGTCTTACCAAGTCTGTTCTGTGTGTGCCTGTCTCATTTCTCCCCTCCAGGTTTCCTGTTCTTGAACATGTTGTTTATCCAGCGAGGAAGACATGAAACTACCTGGACTGTTCTACGGAAGTTTGGCTACGACGATAACTTGGAACTGACCGACGACTATCTGCATCCTCAGTAAGTATCAATAAAAATACCTGCCAACTGAGTATGGAATGGTACTACCATGCTTCTGGGAATGCTGCTGCTCTTCAAATTCAGAATAGGGTATAATAGCAGATGTTGTTTCGGACAGACTGGCAATTAGAACAATTAATGTCACAACTGAGAAGTTAACAAGATGATATCTGATCCCCACAAGGTGCTATTAATAATTCCACAAAGATGCATAAAGTACTTGAGATGTAAGGACAGTGTGATTTTCTGTCGGTGGTTGTTTCTTCTACATTCTATGAAACTGAGTCCACAACGTAGAAGAATCATTGACTCTGAAACTTGTTTTTAGCTGGCTAAATGGCCTAGTGAGTAAGTGGAATTGTTGAAACCTTGATCAAATTGTTTCCTGATCTAATAGACATCAGTTCCAACCATACAGCTGTGTGTAGAGGATACTTCTGCCCCTATCCACAGTCTTGATTTTAGACCATGCGGTATGTTGACCTTTAACTCAACAATGGCTGTTATTGCTATAGTAATTTTTGCAGGAATCTATAATTCACAAGCTGCATACCTCCCTTGCAGGTTGCGAGTTCCTTACCACTGTACAACTGAGTTGAATTACTGCACCTACATGTTCCTGCAACAAACCTTTGAGAAATATGATGCAGTAAGTCGCTTCTGCTTTAATCCTGCAACAAGATTTAGAGAGAGTGGCATATCTCCTGTCTCACCTGTGATTTTATTATACACAGGATAATGATGGCGTGCTCTCTCCAATTGAACTGAAGAACTTATTTAGTGTGTTTCCCTACTTCCCCTGGGGCCCCGAAGTCTTTAATACAGTGTGCACAGACGAGAGGGGCTGGATCTCTCTTCATGGCTATCTGTGTTATTGGACGTAAGTATTGTCTGTAACTCTGTCTGTTTGCCAATGCTCTTAACATTCTTGAGGTAGTTCTTACCTCTCATCCCTGCAAAGGTGTACAGTCTTTGCAACTGACTGCCCCAGAAGTTTAAATAAATCGAGCAAAGCTAAAGAGTTCAAATACCAGGAGTGACATGTAAAATAAAAACTTGTGTGCTTTTCACCCTAGAATATAGTGCAGTGGGCAGTTTATCCAAGGGAAATTGCTGAAGTTGACAGTGTTAGCCATAAATCAGTGTTTATCCCTCTCTCCAAAGTCAGAAGATTGTGAGTTACCACAGGTTTCACTGCAAAATCATGGCTGACACTCCATTGCAGTACTAAGGGAGTTTCCAGATGAGACTTTAAACCAGGGCCCTAACAGTCTCAACAGTGTGTGGAATGGTTTCATGGCATGTGATGGAGAGCAAGTGGAATTATCCCTGGTGTTAAGCCAATACTTATTGTCCAACCAATATCACTAAAACAGGTTACTGTTTGTTTATTTCTTTACTGTTTGGGGGAACTTTCTGTACACAAAATGGCTGGCCTGTTTCCTATATTATAAAAGTGATGATAATTCAACAGTACTTAGCTGTGAAGAACTTTGGGATGTTTCCAGTTTATCTGACTGCAGAAATAAAAAAATCTCTCTTTGCAGATAGGTTCCAGAAACATTGGGGATGCACTTCTAGGAAGAAAATAGTTTAGGAATTTGATGATAGCCATGTAGGTTTTTTTTCAATTTTATGAAAGTGGGGTAGGGTTGTTGGATCCCCTGTCACTACTTCTACTCCACCCCTAAACATTTAGACCTATTACCCAGTCACTGCATCTTACTATTCCCTCTCTCCTCCACCCCATTCAAATCCTTTGGTTTTTAATTAAATATTTCTTGGACTGCAAGAGACTTAAATCAGCTTCCTCTGATCGCAGGCTGTATTAACGGCTAATGTTCATCTTTTGGCCTAGGCTCCGTATTAAGTGAGAAGCAGCTCATTTGCCTTTCGTCTCTTCCCTGGTAGGTTCACTGCTTACCTGGATGTCCATCGCTGTATGGAGTATTTGGGATATCTGGGATATACCACCATCATGGAGCAAGAATCCCAAACTGCAGCCATCACGGGTAGGGAGCAACATCTGGCAGAGTGGAAGAGTATCCTACAGCCTCAGATGTTGTTCATTGTGTAGGGATCTCAAGGAGACCTGATACGGGGAGAGAATCGGAGTAGAACTCAGCTGTATAATTGCTGAGAGTACCTCTGGGCTGTAGAAAGATCAAATGGGTCTTTGTACTATATCTGAATGTTGAGTGTAAGATAAAGGTGTGATCTAATTGAGATATTTAAAAATGATTAAAAAGACTAATAAGGTAGATAGAGAGAAATCATTTCCTTTCATCCAGTATTTAAAACATGAGACAAAACCTTAATATATAGCTAGATTGTTCAGAGATAATGAATCTTCACAAGTGGAGTGGAAACTGGACCTCATTCCATCAGTATTTCTCTTCCTCCTCATCCCCAAACCCCAGAAAACAAATTGTTGAGATTGAAGAGTAAATTAACAATTTAAAATCTTGAGATTTTGTGAGGGTTTAGTAAGAGTTTCGGATCCACAGCAATCATTGGAGGCAAGGTGTAAATCAGCAGTGATCTGACCGAACAATGGAACAGGCTGATGGGGTTGAACAATTCCTCCCATTTCTGCATGAGGACTCTGCTCTGATGCACTCTACAGCATTGCCCACTGAAATTAATTGGGTTGCATAAGGAATGGCCTCTGGGCAGGACCTGAGAGACTAATTTCTGTCACACTAGTCTCTTCAGGAATGGAATAAATGGCACTTGCTGCCTCGTGCTCCGACATAATACCCAAGCTTAATGTTGCTGGAGCAACCATATGGATTTGACTACCTGCCATTGCATCAATCGGTTAAAGTTTTTTATCTTAAATGTTTCAGTGACTCGGAGTAAGAAGCTGGATCTGGAAAAAGGACAGACTCAGAGGAATGTGTTTCTGTGTAAAGTAATCGGACCAAAGGGCACTGGGAAAACCGCATTTCTGCAGGCCTTTTTGGGGCGGAGCTTGAAGGTATGTTTAATAATCCTTTCCCTCCCAATTCCACTGAGGAACATTTGCACAGAATCTGCCTCTTCTCTACGCCTCATATCATTACTTTCAAATTTCTCCATTGCCTTTCTCCTCCCTGTCCGAGCAATCTCCAGCTACAACCTTCTGAGACATGATTCTGGCCTTGTGAGTATCCTGGTTTTAATCACTTCTTCATTGACAGCCTAAGCTCTGAAACTCCTTCCTTAAACTGTCTGTGTTTAAGAAGCTCCTTAAAACCTATAATTTTGGTTACTCTTTTTTTTTTTCTCCTCTTTAAAATCTCCTTATGTGTCTCGCTGTCAAGTTTTTGTTTGATAATGCTCCTATGTTTGTTACTTTGTTAAATGTTATATAAATGAAGGTACGAATCATTTGTTCCTTCATTAGCACTGGATCGGAATCCTGGAATTTCCTGCCAAACATTATCTAGAAGTGTGGTTTGCAATGGTTCAAGAAGCTCCATTGGGGCACTTGGAATGGGCGTTAAATACAGCTTTGTCAGTGTTGCTCATGTATTAAGACAGGAAAGTAAAGACACATAATACATACTGCAATGCCAAGCCAATCGGAAGTTCATACTGTAAAATAAGCTCAGAATCTTGATACTTCTTTACAAGGTCACTATCCTTCTTGTTTCAGGTGCAGAATGAGATGGGCAGAGATGTCTCTGATTTCACAATCAACACCGTGCAAATCAACAGTCAGGACAAGTATCTAATAGTGAGCTCTGGGGTCTTAGAATTGCAGGCAATGGAAGATTCAGAACAACGCAACAATACATTCCTTCCAGCACAATTACTGCCCTTAATGCCATCACTGAAACACTCGCGGTGTTAATATGTTACTGCAGTAGAATGGTTTCTCAAGCTATGGTATTGGGTATGTTGCGAGGGAGGTGTGTACTCACCTGACATGTCTTTGTGTTTCTTTGTGTATGTACTCTCTCAGTATGTGTCAGCATGTACCCTCAAAATGTGTGCATATGTGTCTTTCCCTGTCTCTTCGTGTCTTTATGTATGTCTGTCCCATCTCTATTTCTGTTTTTGACTGTCTGTATGTTTACACCTGGTAATCAATGACATGCTCATTGTGCATCTCTCTGTCCTAGCTGCATGAGGTGGATGTTGATACTGAGTTCCTGAAAGCGTCCTGTGCTGCCTGTGACGTTGCCTGTTTGATGTATGATATTACTGATGCCAAATCTTTCAACTACTGTGCCAGTATTTACAAGGTGAGCTGCTATCTGATACAAGTAACAGACCAGATCTGGAAATAGATTGAGAAAGTAATTAGTCTCTTTCCACGTTGTACACTGTAGGAGGTTGGTCTTCATGGACCTAAGAATAAAGAATGAAAATCTTGGATTTGTAATGCATGTTATTATTGCTATCAAGACATCAAAGAATTAAACCAAGTTCCTGAAAGCCTTTTTGAGGAGACACAAAAGCACTCATTACACCATTTCAAACAAGAATAAAGTAGTTCTCCCTGGTGTCATGGACTGAAAATTATCTCTCAAACCTGCTTTTAAGTAGCTATGTGCTCATTATCATGTTGTCATGAGAGCTTGCTGTGTACAAACTGACTACCAATTTTTCTCTGCTGTAACTGATTCCATTTCAAAAAAGTACTTAATTGTCTGTGAGTATTTTGGGACATCCTTATACTGTTCAGGGTACGATAGAAATGACAGTTACTTCTTTACCTTTGATATTTAGAGGAAATATTCAGATGAATGTCCACCGCTTATGTTGACAACGTGTGAAACATGGACTGTTAAAAAGACATTCAATAATTGATAGAGTAAGGATTGAGCTTTTGTCTGCTTGTTCTGGGGGTGGGGGGAGGATATTAAGTTGCTGATGTTAGTGCTTCTGCTGGTGGTTCACCCTTTCCAGTATCCCTTTCCATTAACTTCCAAGAGAAAGAAAAGGTCGAGCAGGATGTATAACTGGAAACCCCCATCTGGAATTATCCATTCCACATACTGGGTGAAGTGAAAATTTATGGCAGCAATTTTTAAAATAAAAGGATTAATTATCTGGCAAGACAAATATTTATTGCTTATCCCAAATTGCTGTTGCGCTGGTGGTGAGTTGCCACCATGAATCGCCACAGGCTGTGTGGTGAAGGTGCATCCGTAGCACCGTATGGTGGGCATTCTAGAGCTTTTGTCTTGGCAACAATACGTGAACACTTACAGTTTCAAATCAAGATAATGTGTGACTTGAAGTGGGGCTAGCATATGGTTGTGTTTGCAAGTGTTTGCCCCCCTTCTGGGTTTAGAAAGAGCTGTCATTGGTGTCTTGGTGAGTTGCTGTTTATCTAAATAATATCTGCAGCTGCTGTCCATCAGTGATGGAGGGCATGAATATTTCAGTTCGTTAGTGGCCTGCTGATCAAGTGGGCTGCTTTGCCTTGGATGGTTTCTAGCCTTTTGAGCACTTTTGGAACAGCATTAATCCAGACAATTGGAGAGTATTCCATCACATTTCTGATTTGTTCCTTGTAGATGATGCACAGTCTCTGGGAGTTTGGAATTGCTGAAAAATTCTCAGCCTCTAACCTGCTGTTATAGCCCGAGTATTTATGTCTCCGTAGGAGCACTACATGGAGAGCAGAATCCCCTGCATCTTTGTGGCATCAAAGGCTGATCTACCAGAACAAAAGCAGGAACATGGGATCACGCCTGAAGAATTCTGCTACAAACACAGACTCCCAGCCCCGTTTCATTTCAGCTGCAACAGCGATGAAGCAACAACCTCTCATATCTACTCGAGGCTTGCACTTGCTGCAGCATTCCCGTGAGTATTCTGGAATATTCCTAGTTTTATCAGATAATTGTTGCAAGGAATGAGCACACTTTTTGCTTCACTTGATGTTGTGGTAACTGATTTCCCTCTGAGGTAAAGTCAGTTGTCATAGGATTGATTGGCAAGTAACATGAGGGCAGCATGGTGGCACAGTGATAGTACCCAGGTTTGATTCCAGCCTTGGGTGACTGTCAGTGTGGAGTATGCATGTTCTCCCTGTGTCTACATGGGTTTCCTGTCGATGCTCCGGTTTCCACTCAAGAGTCTAAACATGTGCAAGTTATATGGATTGTCCATGCTAAATTGCCCATAGTGCTCAGGGATGTGCAAGTTAGGCAGATTAGTGATGGTGTGGGTGGGTCTGAGTGGGATGCTCTTTGAAGGTATGGTGCAGACTTGATGACCTGAATGGTCTCCTACTGTACTGTAGGGAATCTGTGATTCTATGAACTGGAAGGGGATAGTGTTCCAGGTGCAGTTAGGTTTCAGAGATGGGTGAGGAGGGATTAGAGGTGTGGAGAGGAAGATTGAATATTGTTGTTTGAATATGTGGTAGAGGTGATTAATTGGAGCATTCTGGCCCCATTTAAAAATATTTGCCTGTTGTACGAGGGCATCTCCTCCACCAGAAATAGCTCCAGCTCTGCCTGGAAGTGATTTCGTGTCCATTCAGAGATTGACTGTTCTCCGACGAAAAGATAATCGAACTTTGATTTGGCCTTAACTAACTTGACCCTGGTCATCACTAACCCATTTACTTGGTAACCCATACTGCAGTCTGCTGTTGGCCATTTGGCAGCTGTAGTGGAAGTACTGAAGCTATCTGCTCTGTGACTTGCAGTAGTTCTGCTTTATAGTGGGCTGTTGAGAGGAGATATACAGGAGTCATAGTTGTAGCAAGTTCTCCCAGAGGCTGGTCTTTCCATGGGTTGGGCAAGATCTCATCTCTGTTGAGCCCAGTCTTAGGAAACTTGCATTTGCATTGAAGATTTTCACGTAATGATCATATCTGTTTGCACATCCATAGATGCTGTAACCTTGGTCCCTTTACACAGCTACAGCTATGGCTTATAGCTCTTTCCTTGTTCTCCTAACTGACCCCTCTTCCTCTCTTTCTTTCTCTGTCTCCCTCTTACAGTGACCTAAATGAGGCAGAGCTCAGCATCACGTCCTTCTGGCTACGTATCACGTTTGGAGCCACTATCATTGCGTTCTTGGGACTCGGCATCTATAAAGCACTTGCCAGGCAGAAATAACAGGAGACGGGATCAGCACGACGAGGATGGTGTCCTGAACAGGGATAGGGGAACATGCACTGATCTGCCATCCTGTAGGATTTTATTACAGTTATCTTTGGGATTTGGGTAGGGATGTAGGGAGAGAAGCCATCGGCTGTAATGGTGGAAGAACTGAACAAACAGCTTCTGGTGTCCATGTATTTTGACAAGACATGTAGGAATAGGCTTTCCTGTCTTTACTGTTGAGAGTATCTGCTGGAAGAGACACCTGACCAGTCTGAGCTCTAGAAAGGTATCTTTACTCACTCCCCATTTGGCAGCTAATGTCAGTGTGTTTAGCTCTGCACTTTCCCCTTTCAGTGTTTATTCTACACGTCCTGTTCTTTTGGGGCTTATTTCCCCTGACCTACTAAACAAACTGTCATATCCACCAGAAGAGCCCTGGTGAGACTGCCAGTGGCACATTTTTCTGGTGATCTATTTTAGTGTGAGATTCAGAATGTGTTTCTTGAATGTAAAGTAAAACCCCTTTGTTCCGTGGAATTATCTAAAAGCTGTTGGCTGGATGAAAACAAGGGTATGTTGGTGAGATCTGAAGGACTGTTTTTCTCAATATTTTTATACCAGAATTTGTAATTCAGGTGTATTGATGTATTTTTTCATTTTAAGGAAAAAAAAACACAAGGGTGTTTCATCATACTTTTTGATACTGTTGGTGCCAAGGTCATAAATTTCTGTTGTCTGCAGGTTTTGGCTCAGCAGAGTAATGGAAATTTGGATTCTGTGAAGGCCTGTGCTTTGTCAATGCTGTTTAACTGGTGCTTGTGTCTGTGTAGAGAAAATACCTGTATACCAACAACCAAACCACTTCTTAACTGGCACCAAAATCTCTCTTACAATTTTGATTCTCATTCTTTGTGTGAAATTTATCTCTGGATAAGTAGGCAAAGATTATAAGGCAAACCCAATCATCAGGAAAATTATGCACTAACTGTATCAACGCCTGCAAGAGTAACTACATTTCAAAAACATAATTTATTGAGTATGATCTTCCTTGAAATATCCTGAGAATGCAACTGTGTCTTTAATTACTTGTTTTCAATAGTAATCAGTGGCCTTTCCTGAACTTTCTACCCATTTACATCGGTATTTCTTTAGCTATTGACTTTTTTCCATGTTCCGTACTTTCTGTGTTGTGATCCTCAAATGTAATTCATGTTCTGAGGGACATTGTTTGGAACAGGAGGAGGCCATTCATGCCCTCCAGCCTGTTCTACAATTCAGTCAGATTATTGCTGATCTGCATCTCAACCTCATCCACCTACCTTTGCTCCAAAGTCAGTTAGTTATTAGTTTTGTCATTATATCGCTTATACAGGTGACTTTTCATATGTCCTTGTTACTGGTTGCAGGCCTGTCTGATCACCTTTGAGATTCATTGTTACTGGATCATACTGTAGTGAGAGTTAGTGATAGAGTTCCTATTGTTTAAATTTTCTCAAAAGCAGTGCCCCATTTTTAACTGTTGTGTGTACAATTTTAATTATAAGTGTACCAAATAGTCAAAGATGATTTACGGATAGAGTACTTCTGGGACTCAGCTCACTTCTATCCATCATCTACTCCCCATCTTCCTGCCCCTTCAAAAGGCAGAGGCAGAGGCAGCTCTGTGATGCCTAACCTTGTGAAATGTTGAATGTTTGACCTTATAAAATGAGGTAAACAAATGCTGGTGAATGAGACATACTGCTGTTTCAGGTGTTTGCTATCAGTATGTAAGAATCAGGAGCTAGAGTAGATAATTCAGCCACTTGAGCCTCCTGACCTATTGAGTGATCATGTCTGATATTTTACCTCAGTGCTATGTTGGCTTTCTTTCCCCAGATTTCTTGATTCCCTTGATCAACCTCAATCTTGAAATATGGTCATCAACTGAGCATCCTCTGGGCTAGAGAATTCTATACAATCGTAGCTCTTTGAGTAAAGAAATTTATCCTCATCTCAGTCCTAAATGGCCAACCTCTTATTCTGAGACTGATCCTTATTTCTACATATTCTTAGTGTCTTTCATGTCAAGCCCTCTACTGTGTAACCAATGTGCCTTAACCTCGACATGGGAAAAGCAACCTTTCATATTTCTTTTTTACAGAGCAACATCTGTCAATCAGAGTCAGTTATGTCTTTATTAAGAACAGCCCTGATATTTGATTAAAAGTGACCTTTCCTTTTTGTCATGAGAAATGATGAGCAGTCTGGTAGATATATACATCTTGTAGATGCTGTGATGCTATGACACATGCCTGGGGCTGGTGGGACTTGAACTCAGATGTTCTACCCAGAGGTACAGGCACGACTACTGTGCCACAAGACCTTTAATCAATTCCTGTATGTTAGCATGTTTAACATAAAGTATGCCAACCTCTAAGTTCACTTGCAACATCAGAAATATCTTGAGACATTGCAGTAAGATTCCAGTGCTGTACTCCAGAATGGCATTGCGAAAAGAATCAAACTGTTATTATATTGACATCATCCAAATATGGTTCATGTAAAGCATAAACACCAACATAAACCAGTTTGGCTGAATGATAGATCACACTTTGTCTAAGGGATGTTTTCAGCCTGAATTTCTGAGTTGGGAAGAAATTAAATTGAGTCTGTGGGTTTTAAGGCAAGGCAGGATTGGTGATGCCGAGGAGGAACTATCACTCCGCTTGTTTAAACAGAGTACACTCTGACTTCATGATTTGCTTGGGTACTGAAGATCAGTTGAACTCCCTTGCAACGTCAAATAGTGAAATCGCTCAGAACTATACCTGAATACCGAAATACTCTTGGGTTGTTAGAGTCCTCATCTATATTCCAATGGCTTTTATGTGTCAGCTTTGAAAAGGGATTGTATTTGCTGGACAAAGTTAGATTTGGGCGGTACCCTCTGAGAACTGATCGAAGATGTCCAAGTTCTCACTAGTGTTGCACTTTTTTATCTTAATTTTCTTAAAAGTGGTGCTCCAAAAGTGGAATGATGCAACACAGAAGGAAGCCATTTAGCCCATTGTGCTTGTTCTTAGGGCGACCCTCCCACCCCCTTATTGCTTTCCCATAGCCCTGCAATTTCTTTTTCTTTGTGAAATTCTGCATACTTTCTGCTTCTTCCTCCTGCTTATTTTTGCCACTTTTTTGTTCTCACTGGATCCAAAGAATCCACTAATCTGGCAGGTGGCTTAACTCCAGTGCTGTTCCAATTCATTTGGCTGGAATCGTAGAATCGCTCCTTCATAACTGCCATTGTACTTTGCCACACTTGAGATCAACAACACAGGCATGGACTCATTCTTGTATTGCTCAGCCTTTTAGACCCTTTATTTGTGTGTCTGGTTTGCTATCTACATGGCAAAAATGGAGAGCAAAATACACTCTGCTGTGCAATTGTAAAGAACTGTGGCTTGATTGCAGTGTCAGTTGGTGTTTCCCTGAATCCCCAACTGTAGATGTGTGCCTAACAGCTGTAGAATTATCCAGAGTGAGTGTCTGATCTAAAAGATCGCTCCAATAACCAACCCATCCCTTGCCTGTCTTCCAATCATTCAACTCAGTTGTGAACTTACTGCTCCCATACAATAAATTAAGCCTTTGATCCTGTCCAATTCATGTGAAATGTAAGTTTTCATGTGAACTCAATGTGTTGATGTGTGTGTGTGTTTTCTGTCTTGATCTTGCAGTCACAATTGACCCATCACTGAATGGTTGTATCCAATATCAGCTTCCGAGGAGGTTTTGTTGCTGCCTCTTTCACTTGAAGCCACCCTATGTTTTCCAATTGAACTTCGTTTCTATTTGCCCTTTCTCTTCTTGTGGCAAATGCTTGTCGCTGGGTACTAGTTGTCTGATTGTATCTTGGCCAAATGATCTTTAGTCACATGAAAGGTGGTAGATTATTCGGCTCCAGTGGGAAAGCAGGTAAGAACTGTCCGAATTCATTATTACTGGAGTCCTTTCCCCTAACCTACTCATTGTCTGACCTGTCAGGACAGTTATTGTTCCCTAGTTACTTCTCTCAACTTAAATCAATTACCTCACATGGGCCCAGGGATTGAACCTGGCATTGTCCCAATCTGTCTCACTCAACCAAAACACCAAGCTATTAGCGTTCACAGTTTTTCTGATGTGTGATTGAAGCCATCCATTGCTTAGTTTGTATTGCAGTTCTCAGCTTACAAAGTAGGAAGATAGAACAGAGTAGTATTTAAAATGCCATGGACAGTTAAATGATCATATCTTCAGATTGGTGAGCTTGGTAACTGTGGAACTGGAATTTAACTTTACTCCTGTTTGATTACAGATTGTTGGGAGTAAAATTCTTTGTGTCAATAAATAGGAAATGTTATTTCTTTGTGATTTTTAAATGACAGATTTTCTGTACCTGTCCTTTCATGAAAAGATAAATATATTTTCAGATTTTACAATTTTTATATTGTGTCAGCCTGTGTTTGTACATGGGTATTTAGAATAGTGCAAATGAGTTTTCAGCTCTGGATGGTTTAATGCAACGTTATAAGCCATGTGAGCCACTGACCATGTCAACAAATCGGGAATCAAGATGTGGTGGTTTGCATTTCTGATCAGTAAGTAATGAATCAACAACAGACACCATTGTGGGGCCTATAACCTCAGTCATCATTCACAAAGCATACCATGTCAACTTTGACATTTGTGTTTATTTGTTGGTAAAGTTGAAAGATGGAAATATTGAAGTTGGTTTATTTTCCATGGACACAAAGATAGTAGATTTTAGGTAAACATACATGTTAAATATCTTTACCTGCATTGTGTAAACATTATCCCTTCACCTTAATTTTCCATGACAAAGGTTAGAGTAAAGGGTTAAACATCTTTTGATTTTGGGTGCTAACTGTAATCATGCAGTAAAAAGTAGGTATAAAGTGGGAAAAAGTTCTGATATTTGTCCCAGAGTTACAATTGTACGTCATGAAGTTTCTACATTCAATTTAGATTAAACATTGAGCTGCTGATTGATCGATTGCAAACCTAAGCAAGGCAGGTGCCATCAGAAGTATGTGCCCTATTTGTTAGCAGTGATTATGTTTCTCGGAGCACAGACTCTGGACAAACTTGTGAATAAACTCCAAGTTTAACATCCCCAGTGATTTATTTGAGGGGAATCTAGATGCATATATGAGGAAAATTTGCAAAAATAAAGTTTAGGTGTGTAGGAGTCTTGTGTGGAGTGTAAATCCTGTAATGAATCAGTTGGGCTGAATGGCCTGTTTCTGTGCTGTAACTTCTATGAAGTTTAATGGCATAGAATCTGTGCTATCTTTTATTAAATATGCACACGTTCCAGCAGGAGCCCAGTAGTAAACATTTGGTGGGAGGATTGACCTCTTCAGATCAATGAATCCCTGGACAAATTGCGAAGACTCTCCTAACCCCTGGCTCAGATTAATGGAGTCTTGACTGAGAAAGAACAGGAGTAATTTTTTGAATCAGTGCTGCAATTTCTGTTCATGCCAACTCTACTTCTAAACTTAAGTTTCCTGCTGTCTAATCCAAAGCCATCTTTTGACGGCCTGTTCTATGGGATCCATAGAATTGAAACACAAAGCAAAGGAGGCAGCTGTTCAATCTGTCATGTCCAGTGGCACGAGCTTTCCCAATTGAGTAAATAGAGGAGCCACATTTATGCCACACATGTACAACTGTTGGGTTGGTAGATAATCCTTTTAAAACATTCCTTTACAGCAGAGATATTACTTTTTATTGTTATTCATTCATGGGATGTGGGCATTGCTAGCTGGGCCCACACTTACTGTCCTTCCCAGTTGCCTTTGAAAAGGTGATGGTCAGCTGCCTTCTCAAGCCACCACAGTCCATTTGATGTTGGTATGTCCACAATACCATTAGGGAGTGAGTTCCAGGATTTTAATCCAGCAACACTGAAGGAACAGCAATACAAATGAATTACAACCGATAAAATGTGTTGATAACTTCTTGATATACAGTGTCACCTCTCAACATGATAAAATGTAGATAAATCAAGGTGCTTCACAAGAGCATTGTGAAAGAATATTTAACACTTCCCACAGAAAGGAGTATAATTATGACAGCAGATCAAAAGCTAAAGAGTGGTAGAAATGTTTATAGGGAATTGTGGAGCTTAAAACCAAGATAACTGAAGGCGCAGGCACCAATGCTGGTGTGAGAGAAATGTCAAAATTGTAGACGCAACAGAGATTCCAGAGGGCTGGGGTATGGAAGAGATTACACAGAGGGCTGTGGTTGTGAAGAAATTTTAAAATGAGCATGAAAACAATTTATTTCTGATGCTCTTGCTACTCTATCCAGAATATCCTTTTCTTTAAGGATCCGTTCATTTCAATATCTGAGGAGCGGAGGATTTATATGTAGTGTTCGTCTGGTAGTTTTTCACAGTTCTATCAAGCAAGGCATAACGTCTAGAAGTTAACATTTCACATTCTTATCTGGATCTAGCAGCAGCTTAATCAAGATCAAGGGGAAATTAGGCTTGATATATAAACAGACCGCTCAGAGTTGCATAGGAAAATGTGGTTTAGCGATCACCCCATGTGACAGCCACAGTTTTATTACTTCAAATAGGGTCTTAGGGCAATAACATCCATTCAGGTCATTGACAACAAGTCAACTGTCTCTAGGGAAGACGAGACAGTTTATGGTGAATACTTTGTCAAAGTGCTGGATGAAATAGTTTGATTGGGTCCCTCATACAGTGACAGGTGGAATGGGGACCCTCACACAGTATATAAAATTCTGACATATTAAAATAATCTCTCAAATAAACAATCTATTAATAAGTGAGATACTGGTACTATTCAACATTATTAGAAAATAATTTGGGAGCCTGAAATTTAATGAGTACTTGACAAACTGTAGTTTTTTCACATAGAGGTGGTGCGTGTATGGAATGAGCTGCCAGAGGAAGTGGTGGAGGTGGATATGATTACAACATTTAAAAGGCATCTGAATGGGTGTATGAATAGGTAGGGTTTAGAGGGGTATGGGCCAAATGCTGGCAAAAGGGACTAGATTTCTATAGGATGTCTGGATGGAATGGATGAGTTGGACCGAAGGGTCTGTTTCCGTGCTGTATATCACTATGACTCTATCAAGTCTAGGAAACTACCTGAGGAACTCCAGTAGTGACGTTCTGGTGCTGGAATGACTGAACTCTAACAATCGTAACATTTTTCTTTCTTCTAGATGTGACTCCATCCAGTGGAGAGTTTTCCCCTGCATTCCCATTTTCTAGGCAGTTTCATGCCACACTTGGTTGAATGTGGCCTTTATGTCAAGAGTAGTCACTCTCCTCTCCCCTCAGTCCAGCTCTTTTTTTCCATATTTGAATTAAGGCTGTAATGTGATCAAGAACTCAGTGACCCTGGTGGAGCCCAAATTGAGTAAGAGTGAGCAGTTTATTCCACGTCACCGAATAATTGCCACTGTTGTAGCCATACTGCAAGGGCTCATCTGGAGCATCAATATTCAGAACATCGTCAAAGCCCATACCCTTTGCAATACCTAGTACCTTCCACCATTTTCTGATATTGTGGAGTGAACTAAATTGTGTGAAGATTGTTTGGCATCTATGCTTACGGATACCACTGGAGAACCTCAGACAGAATGCAACAATATGTTGATCACAGCTATTCCTGCTTTATCTGATGGAAATATTATGAAGAAATATTATTGGTAAATTATGGGAAATATAACTAGCAGTAAGTGAGGGGAGAAAGTCAATGTCAATAAATCTGATTGAAGACTAAAGTTGGCAGATGAGTTTGGTCTGTAGGACCAAATAGGACCACAAATCATACTTTTAAAGCCAATCAGAAATTGAGCTTTAGCCATGGTGAAATAACCACCTGAAGGGTGCAATCCCATGTGATCTTCTGCCCATTACCCTTTTATCTCTGCAAGTGACCACAAAAAAAAAGTCTCAATTTAAGACAGGCAGATGGATAGGCACTCAAGCGAAAAGGCAGCAGGAAAAGAGACTAATAAAGTCACCAAGGTAAATGGCACTTTACAGGCAAGAAAGAATTGAGTTTGCAAATGAAAGACAGGTGTTAAAAGACAGTAATATTTTATGTTTACATACACTTTAATTGTTTGGTTCCTGAAAGTCTTGTTCTACCTGGTAACTGTATGCAGAAATATTACTAGTTTCCTCACAGCAAGAAGGATTAGTTCCTTACATTTATTGTGAAACTGATCACTTCTACTCACCCACCTCTAGGTAAAGGGAGATTATAAACTGTTACTGTCCTTCAACACGACAAGAGCTTGTAGCCGCAGTGGGATAATTGTCCACGTAATTGTGAAAATTATACCAGGAGCCCACTTGGGATTGACAATGATGAAAACCCAACAGCTGGCTGACTGAAACCTTCAGGTCAGCTATATTGTGATGTTGGGAGGGATGAAAGGACAAAAAAGGATATAAACAGGAGATCTAGAGCTCAATTTGGGGGTTATTTCATTTTAACTGAATGACTTCTTTAAAACAAACTTTCCTGTAATGCAGAATTGGCACTTTTACTTTTAATTTATTAGATTGTTTTTGTTAGAGCATTGGAGGCTGAGGGTGACCTGACAGAAATGTATAAAATTATGAGAGGTATGCATAGGGTGGATAATCAGATTTTTGTTTTGGCCAGGGTGAAAATATCAAATACTAGGGGGCATAGGTTTAAGGTGAGAGGGGGAAAATTTAAAGGGAGATATGTGAAGCAATTTCTTTTGTTACAGAGGGTGATGGAACATGCAGCCAGGAGAGGTGGTAGAAGCAGATATGATAGCAACGTTTAAAGACATATGAAGAAGCAGGCAATACAGGGACAAAGATTATGTGCAGACAGGCATGATTAGTTTAGAATGGCATCATGTTCAGTGCAGACATGGTGAGCTGATGGGCCTGTTCTTGTGTTGTACTGTTTTATGTTCTGGATCAAAGACTGGTGGTTTCTTTTCATTCAGTTTGTTTCCAAACAGAATGACAAATCCGAGGTGCCTGTCGACTCCATTCAGTGATCAACACAAAAAACACACAACAATAACAAAGTTGCTGGCAAAGCTCAGCTGGTCTGGCAGCGTCTGTGGAAGGAAAAAAAGAGTTAATGTTTTGGGTCCGGTGACTCTGTTCTGAGGAAGGGAAAAGAGTTAATGTTTTGGGTCCGGTGACTCTGTTCTGAGGAAGGGTCACCGGACCCAAAACATTAACTGAGCTTTGCCAGCAACTTTGTTTTTCCTGATTCACAGCAGCCAGTTCTTTTGGTTTTTAGAAAAAAAACCACACAAAATGTATCTAAAAGGAAGAAATTCAGACTTGGTTGATAACTAATTTGCCAATTACTGGACTATTAGTGTTCCAATTAAGGACAGATTTGGGGCCACTTGTATGCAAACTATGAAAGTGAAAGGGAAACCCCTGCAATATTCAAAGTATGAACTGATTCTAATACTGCAATGGGTTGTTCAGAATAAATAGTGTGTGTATGGGTTTTAAAGGATGTAAAGAAGCCTTAGTATTTGACTTTAAATGGACTCTAATCTCAACTGTTGTCTATTCATAAATAAAAGCTTGTTCTAGCTCAAGCCTTGTTCATTCTAATAGAAAGCGACCTGAACTCAGCCAAGAAATATGCCTTTTGAGCTTTGCCAGCAGAGTCCTCAAGAAGCCGATCATTGTACGAATGGCACTGTGGCCCCTATGAAAACACAATCCACTTCCATGTTCTTCATTCTACCATTTGCAATTCCAACTTGAAATTCTCACTTTGAAATAGCTGCAATTAAAATGACCGAAACCCAACCATGTCATTGAGTTGAGATGAAAACCATTAAAATTTCTGATGTCAAATATGTGAATTACTTGCTTAACATGATTTTAATATTAAATGAGAGAGGGAGCTTTTGCACTGAACCCTAGATCCAATAAATCACTTCCATGATAGTATCTTTTCAGAATATATACTCATTTAAAAAGGAGTGCTTTACTTGTGAGAGCTACTCAAGAGACACAGGTTCATGAAGGATAAGAAACAGCACAATTAAAAGTGCACCTGTTTATTTTTTTCATTAAAATGTTACAATTCTATCACCATAACATTTACACTTAATTGCAGCATTTACCAGTAATTGCACAGATTAACATTTTGGGAAAAGTATATCCATTTCAGCTTTTGTTGGTTATCAAAACAGCTAACATTTTATTTCAAACAGGCAAAATGGCGTGCTAGTTTTTTTTAATTTACATATATACAAAGTTTTGAAGAATTTCTTGTCTAATTGTGTACAAATATGTTTTTTCTGCATTAGACTGCCACCCCTGGGTTGGAATATTAAAAAGGGGAAACAAATACAAGAGGACGTGATTTGACAAAATTGCTTGGTTCTAATGAAGAAGGCTGTTTCTCACCTGCATTTATTTCAGGTTAAATTGCTTATAGTTCCTTGCAATGCTCCTACCTTGGCTAAAATAATGATTGGCCAGTAGAGCTGATAAAGAAACTATCAGTATATACTATGAATAATGATATCCAAAATAGTGGCACTTCTGTGTGTAATTCTCCTTATTTTACAGTTTATCAACGTAATTTAAACAAAAGTTCAGACCTTGGACAAGAATTTAGCTGACAGTCAGTGCATTCAATTTTCATTCCAGATCACACCTTTGTTATATTGCACAACCTCATTACAACTGTGATGGCTTTCATGATGGTTCTGAGGTAGGGCTACTGAAATAGTTATTGAAATATTCTACAGGAGCATCACATTACTTCCTGGCACAGCAGTTAATGCTGTTATGTCTAAATCGTACTGTACAAAGTGGCGCTAAAGTGTTCCATGGCTGTGTATAATCACACTCATTACAAAAGAGTTTCCAAATCTGATGGAAATTGCAGTACGATTTCTACTACAACTATACAAGAGGAATGTTTAATTGCTGCACTACCAACACTTACTTCTTCCTGTGGCACTGACTGAGCTTTCCCTTGCGCTGTTTTTCAATGCCCTGCTTTCTCCTTTTCAACGTCTCCTTCCTTGCTCTAGCTGTGGTAAAGGTGATACATTGAGCATCAAGAAAGTTCAGCAATTTCCCTTTGGAAACCTTTATCCCACTTTCCTTAAGCTTCTGGTGGAGGTCTGATAGTTCAAAAGGCTTGTACTGCAGAATTTCACTGTACAGAGGTAGATCTGACCGAATATACTGTCGTATGGCCTCCACCGTATCTGCTTCACGGACTACTGCCTGCGATGGAGTGATTCCATCATCCTTATCATCGTCCGAATCTGTGCTAAAGACACTTTCACATTCATTAGCCGATAGCCTGAAAGAGGGAGAAAGATGAACAGGGTTTGTTCATGCAATCCAGGTAAGCAGTCTGTCATCATGAACTTTATAAATAAAATGACTTTAGTAAGCAGGATCATCATTTTCCTGTAATAAACTGATTTACACTGTGACCTATAATGAATTCCCAGGTACAGGTTGACTGATGTGAATTAGTACTGGGAAAGAAGTAATACATGGCTTGTTAATATGAAAGAGTTTGGTAATGATGGCAATTTTTTTTGGGTTTAAACATTGTGGACAAATATAGTTCTGCTGCTCCTGGATGCCCAGTTTTGAGTTGCTTAATCTGTTTGAAATATGTCCTATTTAGCACATTGGAAGTGCCAAATAACACAACAGACATCATCTACAACAGGACTTTGTGTCCACAAGGACTGCGCAGTAGTCAATCTTAGTTCTACTCTTATGGACAGATGCATCTGCACCAGGTAGATTGGTAAGGACAAGACCAAGGGGATTTTTCCCCCCACATGGTTCCTTCACAGCCCACAGACCCAGTCTAGCAACTATGTCCTAGTATTCAGCCAGCTCGAATCAGTAGCAGCGTGCTACTCAGTCACCTGTAATGACGGACATTGAAATCTCCCAATCAGACTACATTGTGTGCCATTGCCACCTTGCCTCAGCACTTCCTCCAAGTGGTATTCAACGTGGAAGCATACCGATTCATCAGCTGACAGATAGCTCGAGGTGATAATTAGCAGGTGATTTCCTTGCCCATACTCATGTTTGACTTGATTCCATGAAACTTCAATGGATTTCAGATTCAATACTGAGGTCTCCCAGGGCAATTCCTCCTCCACTACATATCACTTTACTGCTACTTCTGATCAATTGTGATGGCAATATCTAAGACATTGTCTGCAAGATGTGATTCCTCGAGAACGACTATGTCAGGCTGTTGCTTGACTAATCTGTGGGTCAGCTCTTTATTTAGCACAATTTTAGCAGAAGCCACTAGTTGGTAATGAGGAGGCCTCTGCAGAGTCAACAGAGCTGTGTTTGCCGTTGTTGTTTCCAGTAGCTGGGTCAAAGGCATGTGGTCCTATTCATTTTAATTTCTTTGTTTGGACTTCATTGTAGTACGATACAACAGAGTGGCTTGCCAGATCACAGACAGCAGGTAAGATTACATTCCTGGGGTCCAAAGTTGAACATAGGCCAGACCAGTTAAAGGTGGCAGATTTCCTTTCTTAAAAAGATATTAGTGAACTAAATGGGTTATAAAAAAATCAACAAACAGTTACATAGTTGATCTGAGGCTAACCTTTGATAGCAGATTTTATTAAATTGAAATTTGACGATTTGTCATGACTGGATTCAAACCCACATTCTCCAAACATAGGCCTGAGGGCTATGGATTTACTAAACCAGTGACAGTACCATTTTGCTACCACCTCCCCTAAATTAAATCAAAGGTAGTATTTCCATCTTCAATTGCATCAATTTAAAGCTCCAGTCTTCATGGGACAGAATTAGGACAGGTGTTCAAGTTATGTTGTGCATCTTCACTCTTCAGAGACATACATTTTCCTTCAAATTAGTAACTCTAAGTCTTGGTAATTTACAGTAAGAACCACAAGGGCATTGTTCCCTTACAAAAGTTGCTGTGTTGCCAAGACAAGATGACCAGGAAATCTGGGCAGATGGTGACAATGACGTCACACTGTCGCAACAGAACTTTCTGGATGCTCCTCTTTCAACAGAGCCTATGACTGCGTCCCTGGCTATCCCACTGATCGTATCCCTCACTGGATGGCACAGGGAGAGGCAAAGGTCTTTGAGTGTATGTCTGGGACAATAGGAGCACATTTTATTTTGGATACTTTAGTAATACAGTGCTGCAAGTTTAATAAAGACACACACACACACACACATCAATTCTGCATAACGTAAGGTCTATTGATTTCAATGAGCCAGTGCACAGGAGTTTGACAAAGTTGTGTTACTGTGTCTGGACAGGTTTCTGGCAAAATCACAGTCTATTGGTATAGCTTCTCAAGTCAAAGAAAAAAAATAGCAAGAGTGCAGGAAGCCTCATTTTCAGGACGCAAGTTTAGGAAGCAGATTATTGAAATTATTGAAAGTATTCCGAGCAATGCGTTTAGGGAACTAATAGGCAGGACCTTGGAAAGCACCAAGGATCAGAAGGACCTTGGTGTACATATGTCCACCAGTCCCTTAAGACAGCAAGACAGGTGGATAAAGTGGTTATGAAGGCATATGGGATAACTGCCTTTAATGGCGGAGACAGAGTTTAGGAGCAGGGAGATGATGCTGGAACTGTACAAACCATTGGTTAGGCTGTAGCTGGAGTGTCATGTGCAGTTCTGGAATCCACATTATAGGAGGGATGCAATTACACTGGAGAGGGTGCAGAGCAGATTTATCAGGATGTTGCCTGAACTGGAGAGATTTAGTTATGAAGAGAGATTGGGTAAACTGGAGCAGAGGAGGCTGAGGGATGACATGATTGAGAGGCATAGACAGGGAAGACAGAAAGAAACTCTATGGAGGAGAGTTCGATGACCAGGAGCACAAACTTAAGTTAAGGGGCAGGTTTAGAAATTATGTGAGGGGAGAAAAAATGTACCCAGAGGATGGTGGGAATCTGGAACTCACTGCCTATAAGGGTGATAGAGGCAGAAACCCTCATAACATTTAAGCAGTATTTAGATGTACACTGCAATGCCAAGGGATACAAGGCCAAGAGCCAAATGCTAGAAAGTGGGATTAGAATAATTAGTTGGTTGCTCTTGACCTTTTGTGATGTAGACCTCTATGACCAGTAGGAAAAATCTTGGCAGAGATAAGCTATAACAACATTATAAAAGGAACATTGCTCTCTTGAGGCTTTCTGTTGGTTACCAGAACCAGCTGTTGCTTGTATAGGAAAGTAGATATCTCTGAAGACCCAAGATCCTATAAGACAATTGGTCAGACACTTTGTATTAGCTCAGTAAGGTTGATTTGCAAACGAAGTAATTACTCAATTTTATTTCTTTCACTACATTGACTTACTTAAGGCTTTCCTTTAATTTAATCACTTTATTCTTGTCACTGAATTTAGATTCAACTGACCCACCTCTGTGATTCGAAGGAGCCCTCACTCCACGTTGAAGAGGAGCTTTGAGAAGAAGGCAGTTCATTAGCCACATCAGAAGGAACAGCTTTCAAAGGCGACTTGGCTTCTGGCCCATTTGACTCAAGCATCCGACTTTTGCCTTTTCTTTCAGAAGTGGCTTTAAGGAGACCCTTCATTGCTTGTTTGCTGGTTTCTCCTGAAACAGATTTTGACTGTTTTTCGGAGTGGGATTTTAGTTTGTTTATTCCTGATGAAACTGGCAGTGACAGTTCTTTGGTGCCCACCTTTAGTGTGCTAGTCAGGGCTGGGATTGTTTTACGGATGCAAGGCTGTGAAGACAATATTTCCTGTTTCGACTGGGTGTCAGGATCAGGCTGAATGACTTGATGTGTATATTGGTAAATCTCTTTTAATTTCAGAATCATTTTCTTCTTTGGCAGAGGTCGAACACCAAACCTGGAACAAAACAAAAGACCTAGTCATGACAGAAACCTTTTCAGATTATAATACAGAGCACATGTTATACCACAGTGCCCATTTTCAAATTGTGTTTCTAAATCACCATCAGCTATCAAGAACTAAACTCATGTAGGAATGACACAATAGGACAATACCCCCATGATTAGTTCTGATTTAAAAGGTGCAACTTTAACACCTGAATCATTTCAGTGAAGTGATACCTTTACTAAGTGGAAGATAACTTAGTAAGAAATAAAACTATACTAACCATAGAAACAACCCATTCAATCCAAATGGTCCATATAAAGACTTCTGTCACTCTTCTTCATCTAACACCATTAACATATCCTCTGTTCCTTTCTTATTTTGCTTCCATTAATGTATTTCTATTACTGCCTCAACCACTGTGGTAGGGAGTTCTACATTCTCACTTAGTTTTTCGTCCCTGATACTCTGATTAGGTTATTCATGAGATCATTCTTTTATTCAGAAATGAAATACAGGAAAACTCTGCTTTCGTTACACATTTTACTTCAACTATCATCTTACTTGCTAAGTTCTCTCTTTAGATGTGGGGTAGCCATAGTTGAATAAGGTGGTTCTGGAGTGATGGAAGCCAATGGAAGTTGAGCTTTCTTTTGGTTGACAGGGGCTGAAAAAAATACAAATCAGTGAAAGAAAGATACATGATGAAAAAGAAGCCTAAAATACTAAAAGCTATTTTAATAATGAAGAAGGGTTACTGCTACATTTAATCTGGAAAGTTACATATTTCTATGTTGTGCACCAGCACTGAAACTTCTACACCTGTCTTAGGACACTGTCTTTGATTGTGGGGTTTAACTTTGTTTTCTCCATGCTCAAAGCAAATCTTACAACTGGATTTCATGTTGCTGACAAAGAGATCTGAAATTATGCCACTCGAGGTTTGGCAAGAAATTCACCTTGAGCCATCCTACTTTTAAAGTCAAATTTGTTCTACAATGTATAATGTTTGGTATTGTGATGACTTTTGACTCAGAAGCAGGACAGTGAAGAAATATGTAGTTTATTTGAAAGGTCTATGGAATCTGTAATTGTTTGTTAGAAAATTTGAAAGGAACCTTTTTCCCCTTTACAATTGATGCGAAGTCTTTAAAGTTGTAATTTTCTTGCACAAGGAATACTGGTTTGTGTGACCTGGCAACCATGGACCTAGAAGCAGTTTCAACATGCAGGATAAAATGTAAAGGCAAAATACTGTAGGTGCTGGAAATACGAAACAAACTAAAAAATACTGGAAGTACACAGGTCTGGCCACATTTGTGGATAAAAGAAACAGAGTTAACGTTTTGAATCTGGAATGACACTTCTTCAGAACTGAGGAAGTTAATAAAAGAAGCCATGTGACTGGCAGACACAAAGAAGTACTACACGTAGAGGATATGGAGACTGAAGGCAATCAGTGCACAGATACAGATAAAAGGAAAGCAGAGACAGAAAGAAGAACATACACAATTCTTATAAAGAGAAGCAAACATCTGAAGAGGTAGTCAAATTTTCTGGAAGGAAGATGATAGGAGCACTTGGTGTGCAATATGTGCTAACAAAAATCTGAATGTTCTGTGGGTAGCTCACAGTCACTAGAAGAGCTGGGTGTTTTCTTGGAAATGGCTAAATCACTAGGATGTTATTGTTTGGTCGGCTGAAGAGTAATTTCAGGATTATAATGACGTGAATAAAAGTGGGTACGTAGAAGTGTGTCTTGCTAATGATAATCAGACCAATGAACTGGATGAAACGTGTTGTTGGATTAACTCCTGGCCTACCCTGCATGAATAAAGAAAAAACTGATACTATTCAGCTGTGTAGGTACGTAGTCTCATTTTTTCCTGAGGGGGTGATGGAAATGCTTGTGGCTGCACAAGACACACCTTTGATATACCAATTTCTTAAAAAATAAAATTTACCTTTTTAATTTGAAGTATCAGTTGCCAGTTAATATTTGTGTAATTTGCTTTGGGCCTGATTCATGCTAAAGTAAAAGCTATAGAAAGTGAAGTCGCATTGGTAATTACATCACTGGGGATCAATCAATAAATTTCATTATTTTGGTTAATGGTTTCCCCACGGGGATAAAAGGTTAATCAAAATATTAGCATTATCTAAAAGAATTTCAGATCGTGCTGTTTAAAATGCACGTAGATTACATCTTTAGACTCAATTTAATTGCAAAAAAGTGTGGGTCTTCAAATTTATAAACCTCCTTTAATCCAGATTGACTGCTTACCTGGGGTTTTGTGCTCTCCAACGTGTTGCCTGGAACAAATGCTTTCTTGTTGTGGTACAGATAACTTTTGAGATAATCCAGAGAGGACTTCAGGAAACCCATCTTCATCCCAAATGTTGGAATCAAAAGAACTAGGATGTTGTCGGTTTGGAAAGTGCTTTGCGTCAGTTTTGTTGCTCTGGTCTATTTCAGTAGGTGGAAAGGCAATCCTAGGCTTTGATTTTTCTGAGAGAGGTGAGCTATTTTTGTTCTCTGCATTTGTGACACAATAGTATTCATCCTTATTCTTCACTGGATTCATTGTCTTGTGAAATATCTCATCACCATTAGAATCTTCCACTTCAAATTGAGGACTACCTTCAGAATTCCAACACTCGTCAAATGGTATTGGCGGCCCGTCTTCAAACAGAAAACTATCTTCAGCTTTAACTGCTAGCATCTCCTCCTCAGTGTCTTCAATCTCCAGCACAGACTTGTCTGTTGATTCCTTCTCTTCAGAAGAGAATGACAATGACAATGCCTTTTCTAGCTGTGACGGAGAATGGGTGGATGACGTTTCCCCACTTCCTAATTCAACAATACAATCAGACATTTGTGTGGGAGGAATTGGAGATGATGGTAGCGACCACTGATCAACAGAATCCTTTTCTGCAGAACAATCTAACTCACTAGCTATTTCTTGGGCATCTCTGAAAACTTTTGATATGTTAATTGCATGTGGTTTTTCCTGCCCCACGTCAACAGATTTTAATATTGCAACCTCCTGTTCCATTTTTTTCTCAAACAACTTATCCCTTCTAACACCCTGACTTTGCAGAAAGCAAGAATTTGTAGTCAGTGTGGAAGACTGCCTAGATTCTGTTGAAAGTGGAGTCGCAGGTACCAGCCATGATCCTTCCATGGTATGGTCTTCACTATTCTGTTCACCATCACTGCTCAGCTGTAGAGTCAGCTCACTTTCACTGTCTTTAACTTGGTTTTCATGTTTGGCCACCTTTTCAACAGCACCATCTGTGGAAAACTCTGAAATTCTGTTGTTATGTACCTCATCCAAATATTTAGATGTAATTCCACCCTGTTCAGCATCAATCTTAGACGTCAACATCTTTTCAGATTTTACACTGATTTGTTTAATATCTGGATTTGGGTTTAATTCAATACTGGTACATTTAATGTTGGGGAAAGACATTACTTGTCTGCTTTCAGAACAAGGTGAAGACATTTTGTTTTCAGTTATATCCATTTCCTCATCCGAGGATATGATCAACAGGGTATCACTGGATTTATTCTCTGATGGAGACTGAGTGGAGTAAATGCTAATAGGTGGTGACTGATTGCAGCGTTGCATTTCACTGGTATTTTGAGACAACCACTGCGAATAAAAAGCACTTGAAGGCGGTATATGGTTTGATAACGATTCTACGTATTTTGGAGATTTTTGAGCACCACGTTCCTGAAAACTTGTTGCATTTACACATCTTTTGTCTGTCAAATTTAGTTGTCCATTTGAAATCACTGAGTCACAAGACAATATTTCAGACGAATTCCCATCCTGTACAGCTCCAAGGGATGAGATTACTGCTGAAACCAAAGACAGGTGTTCCTGTGGAGACTGCACATTTGTGTAAGTTTCCAATGGTGATGAACCAACCAAAGGCAGGTCAGGTAAATCCGGGCAAGCAGAGGGACATTCAATCTCACACATCGGTGAAAGCCGGCTAATGCTACAGTTGGCAAAGGAGCTAGATGAATGACTGTTCTTTGAAGACTGTGTCTTACCTTCTTCAAAGACATCTAAATCATATTTTATTTCATCTTCCTGAGATTCTACTGATAAGTCCGTTTCTGAAAAGAGACAGTCATCGCTGGTATTTGAATTCAAATCAAGTCTGAAGCTATGATTCTGTGTTTCTTTTAGTTGGAATGTTTTATCCTTCGGAGAAGGTTCTTGCATGTTGGACACTTCCACAGCCTTCAAAGAACAAGATGAGTCAGATCTAGTTTCTCTTTCAGTCATTGAAGTCTCACAATTTCCAACTGTTTCACTTTTAGTTCTTGGACCCTCCATATACTGTTCATTTTCTCCATTCACGTGTTCTTCTACAGTTTCCACACTATCCTTCTGTTCAAGTCCGTCAATCTCAAGAGAACCTCCTTTCTGACTTGCAATTTTTCTCTGAGTTGCAGCAAACTTGTAAAGTTCTTCTAATTCCTCCTCATCAACTTTTTCACTAACCTTATCTTCATCTGCAGACTGAAGGTCTAAGGCAGGCTCCTCAGCTTCGTCCATCCACATGGACTTCAGAAGATCCTGGAGATTGTCTTCTCTAGTTCCATATTTTTCATCTGTTTTAGTGAAAGGATCATTTTCCAAACCATGTCCATCAGATTCAACTTCATTTGGATAAGCTTTACAGACCTCTACCAACTCATTCACAGCGAACCTGATCAACGGAGAAATATATCAATCCATCTTATCATACTGAATAGCTATGTTAGTTAGCAACAAGTTTTTCCAAGATTAAAATACTGCAGAGACCGGAAATCTGAAAAAGACAAAAAGATTCCCCGTGACACTTTACTGGCCATCTTTTGGCTATTAAGTTAGTTCTTTTAAGACCTGCTTTAAAACTGAATTAGTAGACTGCTGCAGATATTTCAGTACTCAAGCCTGATCATAGTACTTCATAAATATACTGACCTGTTAGCAAGAGTCTGAAGCTCTGAAAGAACAGTGGGAGACACAGAGATGCTGGCAGTGTATAGATATTGAAGGAAAGTACAAACTCCCTCTGTTGTAACATCAGGAAGCAAGAATCTGCGAGTTATAACAGCACCATCCTCTTCCACCAGAAATCCTTCATCATGCACCTACGAAATAGCAAGTCACTAAACTTGAGACATGATCGGAGTTCGCAGAAGGGGATGATACCAGACAAAGCATTGTGATAGACTTCCATGGGTTACCTTTCAGGACAGCACATAGCCAGCAAACAGCAGATAAGCAATCAATGAAATCTGATCATTCATCAGATTAAAAACTTGGGTTAATTGATTCCATTCTGACAGATTCAATGGAGTGCAAACTGCATGTCAGAAAGGCAGCACAAATTGTATTATACATCATTAATGATGACAGAATCGTACAGCCAGATTTGGTTCACCTTCTCAGTTGCGAATAAAACAGCTTAATTACTGTGTAACCTTTCTCATAATAGGGATATGCTCACATGCAACTTGACATTGTACAACATGAGTACCAACCAATAGAAGATATCATCCCTTGTCATATGTGCATTTTTTCCCTACTCATTCACTAGGTATGGGCGTCACTAGCTGGGCCAGCATTTATTGCCCATCCCATAATGCCCTTAAACCAAGTGGTTTACTCGGCAATTTCAGAGGGCAATTAAGAGTCAACCACATTGCTGTGGTCTGGAGTCACATATGGTCCAGATAGCAAACCTAGAAGACATCAGTGAACCAGTTGGATATTTAGAATGATTGACCATAGTTAGATGGTTGCCATTAGACAAGTTTTTTTAATAATGACGTTTATTGATTTTACATTTCTCTATTTGCCATGGCATGATTCAAACCCATGTACCCAGGACATTAGGAACTCTGGATCACTAGCCCAGTGACATTATCATTACACCACAGCTACCCTCTAAATCCAAGGGTACGACCTGTCCTACCTGTTCGTGTGTGATTCCTACCCACAAGAACAAGAAGATTAACAAGGTAGAAGGCTGAAGAAATCATTTTCACACCCCATTTACTGAAAGAAATCCTTCTCACTTACAAGTCGGACAAGCTGTGGACAGCGAGCGTACAACATTAACTGGTGAGCATACACAATCTCACCGCTGTCCACCTGAAACTGCACATCACTCAGGTGGGGATTGTTCACCAGCCCTGCAAGGTCTTCCCTCAGTTTCTTCAGTTGGTGCTGAAATCAAAATGCAGCAAATATTAAAAACAGTTGCAGGTGGTTATCATTGCAAAATATTTCACCGTTTTGTTCCGAATCTCTTTGCAAGTTTCAAGATTTTGGTGGGAAACCCACGTGATTATTTACAAAGATGGTCAAATGGGATAAATTTGAAATTCACTTTATTAAAATAAAACTGGTTTACTTACTCCTTGGTGCAAACTATTTCCACAACTTCCGTCACTCCAAGCTGGGACAAATCCACTAGGTGTGATATCATCAGATAAAGTGCCTTTCACTGTAGGATAAAATGAATGAATACAGTAAAATTTGGAATATAGTCTTTGATTTACAAGAATGAACAGGTTTCACTTAGTAGTCAATACATGTGGAGCTGGAGGAACACAGTAGGTCAGGCAGCAGAGGAACAGGAAAGTTGATGTTTCAGATCAGGACCTTTCATCAGGTCCTGAAGAGGGGTCCCAACCCAAAACAAAGACTTTCCTGTTCTTCTGATGCTGCCTGACTTGCTGTGTTCCTCCAGTTCCACACTGTATTGACGGACTTCCAGCACCTGCAGTTCTTGCAGATAGTAACCTATTAATGCAACATTTAGCACAAAGCAACATTGTTCCACCAGATCCTTGAATAACACAAACTTTTCCAATGGTACTTAACAGAAATCAGACTTCAAAAAACTTTATAGGAAGAAATTAAGTATCTATCAAAACAATTATTAATTTCCAATTCAGAAGAAGTCATTTTAACAGGTTTTAGATCCAAATCTACATTAATACTTGATAAAACAGTAATTAATTTTTAACAGCAGGTGCAATGCAATTCTTAAAATCTAAACTGACATTCACACAGAGATACTACTACTTGTGAAATTATTTCATGTAATTATCATAATAAAAATGTTGGCCTGAGATGCTTATTTCCCCTGTATGAATGAAAAGAAATTGTATAATTTCTGCATTCTTAAACGCAATAGGAGTTATTTTTTAAAAAATACATTTATTCAGTAACCATGCATAGAATATAAAAGTCCACAGATCTCGGAGCAGTTGTATTAAGTTTCCACTTACTGTTTCTTCCTGTTATTTCATTGTCTTGTTCATGGTTAACCCCATAATTCCACTGTGTCAATGTCATTCCCTCACCAGCTAAATCCATCAAGTCAAAGAATGTCCGATCCTGCTGACTGCTAGCCAAGCGCACATCCTCAGTCTCCGTCTTACTTCCATCACTAGCTGGAGCAGAATGTTGATGGATCAGCTTTGAGGATGGACTTACAAGGGCTCTGTCAGCCACCAGTGAAGATGACATCTGTTCCTTACAAGCCAGATATTCTTGATCATGTCCCTTCCACAAAGCACAGAGTACAATTAATAATTTTCAATGGGATTAAAGGGAAAAAGCAGGGCAGCAGGATTAATTAGACAACGCTACTGACGAGGTGTCATAGCCACACAATCAGCCAAGTATTATATTTTTCTTTGTTATTGGTTCTTCATTTGGATGCAAGCCTGCAAAATACAGATTTGATCTCAAGTACTACTCTCATTGTGGTCATTGTTTAAGTGTGCACATTCATCTCTAGTTCCCAGAAGCTCAGCGCTATTTGATACAGTAATGATATTCTGTCTCTAGACCCAGCTAGCTAAATAAAATATGCTTCACAATGGCAAAATGATGTGTTTTCTACAGTACTGACAAATCAATGTTGCACCAATTAGAGTATTGACTATCTGGTTCATTGTAACATTACTGATTCAGTGTGCATCAGATTTCAGCTTATTGGGTGGCACTAACAAAAATGATAGTGACTTGAAGATGGGCAGAAACATCATTTCCTTGAAAGAAAAATCAATCTATTTGGACATGTTATGAGACACCTCTGGGACAGGTGAGACTTGAACCTGGACCTACTGCCTGAGAGAGTTACAGACACTACAACTGTGCCATAAAACCCCTGATATTTCATTGACATGCATACTTAAAATAAAAAAAACTTGTAACAAAAATAAAAATTGCTGGAGAAACTCTGAGTCCAGCGACCCTTCTTCAAACATGGACTTAAAACATGAACAATTTTTTCTTCAAATATGCTGCCAAACCTGAATTTCTCCAGCAATGTGTTTTGGTTTTTCTCCAGCATCCGCAGTTCCTTGTTTATTAAAAAAAAACCTATTAATATTAAATTGATTATAATATTTAAAATAGCTTTAAATAGTATGCAATTTTTATATGCTACATATTTTCATTCACTTGCAAGTAAATAACTTAAAAGCACCTGTGCTTATATACAAAAAGTGTGGAAAACAGCACAAATCATTTCAGCACCTTGCAGCGTTTTACTGTCTTAAAGGTAAAACAGAAATAGAAGTTCTTCTCATTAATCCAGAAAACAGGTTGCAATTATTACAGTAACTGAATCAATAAAGTCGCGTGACCCTGAAAGGGTAAGTTATCTAAAAGATACTGATTCTGGATCAGAAGGAATCAACTCACTTCCCAGTAAGTGCCGTAAAATCAAGTTTTATAAAATTCTTGAAATTGTTACAAATAACGAGACAAAGAGAAGCAGCAGGCATGCACACAAAGGGTGCTTTTTATCAATTGTGCAAACATTGCGATTATCTTTCGATTAGTCCCCATGAATTCTGTATCCTTCACAAAACCACCTCACCTCTTTCCATGGTATTATAGGCGGAACCAAGTTAGCTGCATAAAACAGTGCAGAGTCCCAGTTATTGGATCCAAACAAAGCACTGCGAAACCACAGGCTTTCATGCTGAGTTATTCCTGGACGCACATGACAGACATGGCTCAGTATTCCGCCTACGCAGAAAGTGCTTGCTGGCAACGGAGGGGTGCTAGATATTTCCATTTCCTCAGACAACAGTGCCGCCAAACTGTTTTGTACCCTTTGGAGTGCCATCTCAGGGTCCTGGACCAACAGTGGGGGAATGCCATCCTTTCTCTTCTTTCGACATCTCTTGTCTAAAACCAGAAAAACCAAAGTCCAGCTTGGAGATGAGATAGTTGTCACTTTATTGATAAAACTGGCATAACATAACAGAAACATACACATTGAAACGACAACAGAATTTACAAAACATGAACCTTATGAAGCTCCAAGGAACATCACTGAATAATGCAGAACTATTTTTTAAAATTCCTGTGTGGGACGTGGGCTGTATTGGCTGGCCAGCATTTATCGCCCATCTGTAGTTGCCCTTGAGAAGGTGGTGCTGAACTGCCTAGTTGAACCGCTGTCTCTAGACCCAGCTAGCTAAATAAAATATGCTTCACAATGGCAAAATGAGGTGTTTTCTACAGTACTGACAAATCTATGTCCTATAGGTAGATCCACATGGCCCTAGGGAGGAAATTCCAAGATTCTGACCAAGCAACAATGAAGGAACATGTATGTAGTTGGGAGTGTGTTGCCCCTTTAAGACAGTGGGCCAGATAACCCACAGGTGGGAGATAAAGGAACAGTTTAAGACTGTGGAGCTGAGAGAATGTACAATAAAGTATTCCTTGTTCAAGTTTACCCTCCATCTACCTAGTGTTCAATTTACAGTTCTAGTGAACCACAAACATAACAAATGGCGATGAGTGTGGGATCTGCCCCACAAATCGTGTGAACGTCTTTTTTTTGTCCTTCCTCCTGGGACTTCAAGAAACGGCACAGGATTGTGGAGGTAACTTCGAGGAACGCAGTCACGAGGGGACTTGGGCTGCAGTCAACACCAGAGAAACCCACCGAGAAGACATACCAAGAACTATGCGAAATGCTGGCAAGTTATGCATGGATGATCGCAGAACTTTTCTGTTTTTATAAACCCATACACAGCATGGAGGAGAGTCTATTATCCCATTTGTGGCTGCCTTAAATAGCTCAGCAGAACATTACTTATTTGGAGAGTTCCTCCAAGATGCCTTGCAGGATCATTTGGTTGGTTGCCTTCAACACAAAGTTATCCAATGGGAATTACTAACAAGGAGAGACCTGGATTTCAAGGCAGCTTTCAAAACTGCTACCTCAATGGAGTTAGCCGCCAGCGAAGCAACACAATTAAGTGATGACGCCCAGGTACACAAAATAGTGGAAACTCCGTGGAGTGCAGTATCAACCGTAGAATGCCAATGTGACAACAGTGGCCAGAAGGAGTCAACTACGTACAGAGGCCGTTTGAAACACTGGTCGCTTAGCTGTATTTATATCAGTACGTAGCCGTTCAATGGCACCACTTGCTTTGGACTTGAGAGCCCAATGCCGCAGTTGTTAGCGAGTGGGGCCATATTGCCTGAAATTACCAACTACAACTCAAGAAAGAGAAGATCTGTTCAAAGGACAAAATTTAGAGGACAAGGCACAAGGCAAATGCTGCCAGCCAGGTCTGTGGGAAAGGCAGAAGGCCCAGAGTCAGCTGAGTTTCGGTTAAAGATCCTGTCGCTACAGGATAAAGTTCATCTTATCTGGGTTCTTCCCAAATTAGAGGGCAAGAACATAAAGATGGAAGTGGATATGGGTGCAGCAATGTCTCTGATTTCCAAATCAATATATAGGGAAAAGTTGAAGACACTGCCACTGAAGCCTGCCAAGATTACACTTATGGATATACACACAAGTGATGCCACTGAAGGGTTACGTACTGATACAAGTACAGCTAAGGGACCAGTGTGCCAAACTGCCTCCGTAAATAGTGAAAGACATCTATCCTGCATTATTCAGACACTCCTGATTACATAAAGTAAAGTTAAATTGGGCTGTGGTTAATAGGCTGGCAGACTCAAATGAGTTTGCATGTGATTTTGGACAGTTATAAGAATGTCTTCAAGGGAACCTTAGGGGAAATGAAAGGAGTAGAAACTCAATTTTAGTTCAAGTGGGAGGCTTGTCCCAGGAGTCTGAAGGCGCATCCAATGTCGTATGCCATTTGGCCTAAAGTGGAAGCAGAACTGGAGAAGCTGGTAAACCTGGGAGCATTGGAACCAGTAACCACAAATGAATGAGCCATTCCCAATCGTCCTGATCTGAAAAACAGGTGGCATGGTAAGGATTTGTGGATTTGAGTCCCTCAGATCATCAAGCTGGTCCAGATGGGACCACTGGTGTTGGCCAAGTCATGTGTCTCTGAGCCACGGTGGCCATACCGAGGGAGGAAAAGACAGCAGTGTAAAAGGGCAATAACAGCCAGAGAGGAACGTACCTGCGGAACAACAAGAGTTTTCAGAAGCCCAGGAGACTACTGTAGAAGAGGTTCCTGAGAAAAGGAGACGGTCTTCTAGGAATCACCTACATCTTGAGAGACTGATTATGTCAGGGTAAACTGCAAAGGCCTGTTTTCTTTTGCCTTTTTTTGGGTAAATATTTCTGATAATGTGCATAATATTAGCTACAATGCTTGTATAATCGTCAGAATTGTTAGTTATATATATTGATAAGAGAAGTATGGAAGTAAAGGAGGGAGGGTTATGATGTATGTCATTCAGTGAGTGTTGCCCCTTTAAGAGTCGTAACCTGGAGGCAGGAGCTACAGGGGCTGGCTAAGTCTGACTGTGGAGCCAAGAGTATGCACACTAAAGTATTCCCTGTTCAAACGGTCTACTTCATGTTCTATTTATGGATCTAGCGAATGACAAACAGAAATATATTGCTGTTCTGTTACAAGTCAGGTCTTGCTGAGTTTGGCCCATAACCCTCTAGCCCTTTCCTATTCACGTACTTAACAAATGTCTTTTAAATGTTGCAACTGTACCTGCATCTACTTCTTGTAGCAACTCATTCCACATACTGACGACACTGTGAAAAAGTTGCCCTCCGGTCCCTTTGAAATCTTCCTCCTCACTTTAAAAATATGCCCCCTAGTTTTGAACTCCCCCACCCCAGGAAAAAGACCTTTGCTATTCACCTTATCTATGGCCCTCATGATTTTATAAACCATTAGAAGGTCAACCCTTAACCCAGTTCAATGAAAGGAGTTTCAGAATCTTCAGCCTACCCTTATAACTGAAACCCTCCAGTCCCAGCAACATCCTGGTAAATCTTTTCTTAACCCTCTCCAAATTAATAATTTCCTTCTTATAGCAGGGCAACCAGAACAGTGCTTGTTAGCACTGTTGATGATATCTCCATTATCAGACTGATAGGGTGATGATTGAGCTGGTTGGACCTGCCCTGCTCACTGAGTCGAGAGGGTTGCTCTGATGAGAGATTACATAATATTGGCCTATGTCCTGTGTGGTTTAGAAGAATGGCAAGAAATTGCATTGAAGCCTAGATTGAGAAACCATGACAGGAGATGCAGGAAGGCTGTTTTCCCCATCTGGAGAATTCAGGGATAAAGTGGTACAGTTCCTGGACCATTTAGGAATCAGATAAAGTACAATTTATTCTCATTGTTCTAACCCTTAGGAATTTTTCATCTAGTGGACTGTGGACTAGTTAGTGAATATGACCAAGGTTAAGTTTGGTAAACGTTTGGAACTTGAGGAATACAAGAAAATGGAGATGCTGACTCACTGTCTGATGGGCTATATAATGAGAAAACAGTTGGCACTGCTAGTCAGTAGTACCAGAGATGACAGTGTTCAGCCAATTTGATTCACTTCATGTAGTAGTAAGAAGTGGTGGAGGCACTGGATACTACAGAAGGATGTGGGCCTTGACATCAGTCCAGCAACAGTACTGAAGACTTGTGCTCCAGAACTTGCTACTCCCCTAGCCAAGTTCCTGTGCAGGTACAACACCAGCGTCAGCCTGACATGTGGACAGGTTTCTCGATGGAAGTATTTGAGAGTTTGGAAGGTGCTGTCTGACAATCTTTGGTGAATTTCTGCAGTGCATCTTACGGATAGTACACACTACTGCTACTGAGTGTCAGTGGAGGGAGTGGATGCTTGTGGATGTAGTGCCAATCAAGCAAACTGCTTTGACCTGGATGGTATCAAACTACTTGAGTGCGCTTGGAGCTGCACACATCCAGGCAAGTTGGAAATATTCCATCATACTCCTGACTTGTGCCTTGTCGACAGGCTTTAGGGAATCAGAAGGGGAGTTATGTGCCATAGTATTCCTAGCTTCTGACCTGCTCTTGCAGCCACTGTATTTATATGACAAGTCCAGTTGAGTTTCTGGTCAATAGTAACCCCCAGGATGTTGTTAGTGAGGGATTCAGTAACAGTAACACTTAAATGTCAAGTGGCAGTGGTTAGATTGTCTCTTCTTGGAGATGGTCATTGCCAGCATTTGTTTGGTGTGAATATTACTTGCCACTTATCAGCCTAAGACTGAATATTGTCCAGATCTTGGTATGTTGGTACTTGGACAGCTTCAGTATCTGAGGAGTTGCAAATGATGCCCAATTGTGCAATTGTTGGCGAACATCCCCGTTCCTGACCTTACGAATGGAGGGAAGATAATTCATGAAGCAGCTGAAGATGGTGAGGCCTAAAACACTACCCTGAGGAACTCCTGTAGAGATGTCCTGGAACGGAGATGACTGACCTCCAACAACCACAACCATCTTCCTAAGGACGAGGTATGATTCCAACCTGCGTGGAGTTTGATCCTGATTCCCATTGATTCCAGTTTTGTTAGGGATCCTCGATGCCACACACGTTCAAGTGTGGCCGTGATGTCAAGGGCTGTAAACTCGCACCTCAATTGATGGAAAAAATAACATTGTTTCAACTTTCACCAATCCAGCGTTCATCGGTGCCAGACCCAGTCCAGATAAGAAGGGAGGATTAGTGACAAGAATGGCATCCAGCTGTAGAACCACCACAGAAGTCAATTAACCAGCATTATGGTGAACCCATATAACATGGGGCGAGTTGAAAGAGGAGCCATTTGCACTTTTCAACAATGATCTGCTTCTGCAAGTTATTTTGTGATGAAATGCCTGGACTAATGCCAGTGCTTATTCTGATCCAAAAATCTTAGTGCCCTGAAAGTAATCACTGCCCCACAAAAAGAACTGGAGTTACAAAATGTAACTTGCATGACATCTGCTTTGACAGAATTAGAAAAAACTAATATACTTTCAGACTGATTCTTGATTTATACAACATGGAGGAGAATTCAAGACTAGATTAAAACTGTACTCTCAACTATTACCTGATGCTATCATCATTTTGGCAAGGCTGAAGTTACCAGCATGCAGGGTTACATTTTGTCTCTCCTCCTCCTGTTTTTGCTGTTCCAATAGAGATGCAGATAATGCCATGGCGACCATTGTATCCTCATCCACTGGTGGCTTACTGGTAGTCTTGCATTTCTTCGGCGGTTCATTTTCTCTTGTTGAACTTTTTCTCTTTGATCTACCTTGCTGAAGGCTGACATATGGAATTGAAAAGGGAAAAGGTAATTTAACTTTATGCACACACCAGATATGCATACAGACAATGGTCACAGTAGAAGCTGAGGTATTTCACAGGCAATATCCTTTAAACCACCACTGAGAAAGCCTTATTAAATTGCAACACTTCTGAACTGGGCAATGACACTGATCTTACAGGAGTTCCTCTCTGTAAACCTTTACTGGGTCACATTTAGCAACACTTTGTTTAGTTCTTTAATCTGGATTTGAATGTAACATAATGAAGCAAATACAGCCCAACACCACAAGAAATCACAAAGGAAGATATGCATTTATGTAACATTTTAATCTGCCTCTCAGATGTGTCAATATGACAATTAAATAGAGGGAATATTAGGTCAAAGAGATGCCACGCATCTTCTGTATACACTTGAAAAGATATACTGGGCCTCAATTTAACACATCATTCCGAAAGTCAACACATCCAACAAAGTAGCTCTTTCAATTTGTACACCAGAGTAAAGGTGTTAGATGGTTAATTCAGACCGGGGCAGTCAGAATCCCAATTTAATATCTGATCAAGAAAAAGGTTCAACCCATCCACAAAATCATCTGTATCCCATTTGGAACAAAGAATGTGCACATTCAATCACCCTCAACTTACTTGTATTGAATGTTTGGGTAACAGAACAGAAGAAACTCTGATGATTATGTTAAATGTAAACATCACATTCTGAAATATGTCAGTTTTACTGTGGATGTGCAGTGGATATCAGAGACAGGTCATGTAAATTACATTGGGAGATAAAAGCACTAGATGAATAAGGCACTCGAGTTGACAGAAAGGACAAAGACAACTGAAAGGCTGGAGTAAGCCCAATGAGGATGCAGTGGCAGAACCACTCGGTACATATGAGAAAGAACCAGAATTAAGCTTTTAAAAGAAAACGCTAGCCTTTTCATTTTATTTACCTTGTTGAGGAAGTGGAGCTTTCAGGATACTGAGAGTTTTGTCTTTGAACTGCCTGCAACAATAACTGTGGTGGAACCTCTAATTCAATGGCACAGCGTTTGAGGTGAATCGCTCTGCTCTTGAAGCTTTTAAAATGTTTGCCACAGATTGGACACTCCGGAACTGAAGGTATGTTTATTGAGATTACTGTAGCTGTTTTCTGTTCTCCTTCATCTAAGCACCTAAGAGGTCAGAGGAAAACATTTAATTTATATTGAATATACAGCAGAAAAAAAATTATTTGACCAAATTGGCACATACTGGTGGTTATGCTCCACGCTAGAGTCGGTAGCTGTTTAGACGGAATTTTTAATTAATAAAAATAAAATACTGCAGGTGCTGGAATTCTGAAACAAACACAAAAAAAAGCTGGAGAACCTTAATAGCATCATGCTGAGAAACAGGTTAACGTTTTGAGTCCAATATGATTCTTCTTCAGAACTCTAAACAGTTAAGTCTGTTTCTCTCTCCAGAGATGCTGCCAGACCTGTTGAGTTTCTCCAGATTATTTTTAACCTATTTTCACCATTCCTTGACTGCAAGAACTCATATTAGGTTAATAAAAATTAAATACAATGGACATGTATGAGCTCCAGTCAGTTAAAACTGAATCTAATAAAACAGCTGGAAGGTTGGTCCATGAAGAACAGGATTAATAAATTGTCAGTGAGATGATAATCCGAAAGGTTGAACGTTATGTTCGGATGTCTTACCTGTTGATGTGCTGAGTGCGTCGAGCAGAGTTCATGTTGGAAAGATCCTTCTGACAGATTACACAAAAAAAGAGCCCATTGTCTTCAAGAGTATAGGCATTAGTTGTTTCCAACTCCTGTTGTATTGTCCACGCCAAGGCCAGATCACTGTCTGCTGACCTCTGGCAGTCATCAGCTACAGCTAAATGGATATCATCATATTTAACTCTAAGTCTCATTATAATCAAGAATTTCCAAGCAATTTCCAAGAATCATTAGATCACCAGAAGCAATTCTAATGCATTCAGAGCTCAGGGTTAAGATGGCACTATAAACACCTCAGCTAAACTTAAGCATCTTAAAACAGTCAATCTCCTTAACACATCTTCCACATATTCTGCCTTCTGGCACTTTCTGGACCTTATCTTAGTTTTCTCATTGAAGTTTCTATTCTCCATTCTGACCAATTTGTCCTCACCACTGATATTACAGCCAAGTATTAATATGACCAGGAGGGATCTTTTTTTAAAAAAAAAAAAAAACCAAATAATAAAGAAGCATTCTGTTTATAAAGGAACAATGTCCTACTGAAGTACAAGTTAGGTACAGAGCAAGTATTATGAAACTGCAGCTAAGATTAGGTATCACTAGAATGTAAATAACCATATATTCAAAATAGAAATTAGGGTGACACAGCTAAGCACAACAGTGACACAAGTGTCCGCAGAAACAGGGAACTTAGGTTTGATCAATTAAGCCATTGAGCTGCTGATCTCAACTGTAGACAGACAAAGCCTGGGGAAGTGAATACAGGATGAATAATGTTCCTTGTGCTGTTAATACACTCATTAAGCTCTAATGGTTAACATATCTCAATTTAGACCTTTTAAGACTACATAGCTGAATCACAAATTAGCAATGCCTAAATGAACAGCCAGCAAAACATGCATAGAATTTAACAAGTTACTTTCTGGACAGATAATAAAAGAACTTCTGATAAACGAACCATCTTCTTCAGAAATTAATGATGCAGGAAGGGATACTGCAGTTGAATGGCTGTCTGTTCTACCGTTCATTTTGTTTGTGTCCACGGAACAGAATTCTTCATTCTTCTCATCCTCTTGAATTGTAGAAGCTGACAGTGTTTTCACATCATTGCTATGTCTCAAACGTTCAGGTTCCTTTCTCCTAAATCTCTGCATATTTCCCAAAACTCGTTCTTTCACCCCTAGACCTTTGTTAACAGTCTTCTTCATAATTGCTGAATGGCTAAGCCTGTGGATCCACATGCTGCCTGCAAATAGCAAGGGCTACATTTAACAGACAAGCGATCACTATTGGCACACAACTAAATTATTACCAACATTCCTTTATTGTCTTATGAAAGACTCTTTCAGGTCAAATTTTTAAGTGCCAAAAGATTTGACGCAACAAATAATCTAAACATTTTAAAAGAAAAGTCAAATTCAGCTCTAAGATTTTCCGGTCAGAGATACTTTTTTTAAAAAACATAATGTTGGCAAATGGGACTAGATTTATTTAAGATATCTGGTCGGCATGGACAAGTTGGACTGAAAGGTCTGTTTCCATGTTGTACAGCTCTATGACTCTCTCTCTCTCTCTCTCTCCTCCTCCTGCTCACTTTTTTCAAGATTTCTGTTCTATGCATTGTGGACGGCATTTGCCACTGTGCAGAATTGCACACTCCGACAAAGTAGTGCCCTCTTGGTACTGCCCCCTGACAAACCAGCATCCCCTAGGTAATACCCCTCTAACAAAGCGGCACTCAGCACTCTGCCTCAGTACTCCAATTAAGAGTCCAATACATAGCATGGTGAAGTCTCTGGAACATTTACCTGTCACGGAGAAGATTGAGTATAAGTGTCGTACCAAAGAGTAAATCTGCATCTACATTAAATTTCTGAATTATTCAGCAGTTAAATGCAAAGTGTGACAGCTAACATAATACAAATTCCAATATGCTAACCTCTTTCTTAATGCTCCTAATTGCTTTTAGGGCTTGAAAATCTGGCCACTGACTTTTTATATATATTTGTTTATTACCTAAAAAAAAATTGCTTGACAATTGCATTAATAAAGAGCAGCTTTATAAAGAATTCATTGCCTAAGTATGCTTTATGAAAACGTATTGATATCTTACCTGGCAGACCATCCTTAACAGTCCCAGAGCCCTCTGAAGCCTCAGGTTTTGAAGGCTGAAGCACAGTGGCATCTTTCATTGTCACTTGCCTGCTGCAAGAAGGGGCAGGTAGATCATTTGCCTGACATTCAGTTGTCCCAGTATTTTTGTGCTCTGCTGTTCCATCACTGTGGGCTTTACTCTCACTAATACAATTTGCTTCACTGTTCAATGTTTGTTTTTCTCTTAACTTTGTCTTTGCTACAAAGGAATTGGTGTGGCTCCAGCAGACTGATTTGCATTTCTTCCCTCCACCTTCAACTGGATACCTAGATGTTGTCTTGCAGAGCTCAACAAAATCATCATCTGATTCATCCATCAGTTCAAAGTGTGCAACATTACAAGGCAGATACTGGAGATCAACATTAAACACAAGTCAAAATCATCCTCTTTGTTTATTGATAGCCTGTGAACAAGGGAAAAGTGTAAATGTGCTGAAATCAATTCCTCTCCATTTAAGTCATCCTTTCGCTACAACTAACCCTAGGGCAACCTCTCAACCACCCCATAAATCATCACCTTCCTGTACAGACCAGCATCTAAAACCAATTTTCGCATCACTTAATGTATATTAACATGACACCCCCCATGGGGTAATTGGTAGAATCCCTGCCTCCAGAAGATCCAGACGCAAATGAAAACCCATGAATTGATGGCCAAGTAAGTTAGGTTCGTCATGTAGCCAAACCTATCTTTCCAACACACACACCAACAGCCAGTTGAAGAGAGAGATGCCTTATCAGTATGTGATGGAGAAAACATTGAGAATCTCTGCTATCACAGCTTCTGACTACAATATGCATGTAAAAGTGTATGTTGCCACAGTAATTCAAGACTGAGTGAACTAGAATGTGTTAAATAACCTTAAATAATCTTGTATACTAATAACAGAGTTCAAACGTGCACTAAGTGATCAGGAAAACAAATTGCATGTTGTCTTTTACTATAAAGAGATTGGACTACAAATCTTACAATTACACTGGGCTTAAAGTTTTGGCAAACATCTGTAGCTCAGATCGTGGGTGAGGTTGTTGACTTGCTCGCCGAGCTGGCTTGGTCTCATT